GTCAGGACTCCAAGCAGAGTCGACTTCCCTGAGTCCACATTTCCCAGGACGGCCACACGAAGGTCTAGGAACTGTGGACGAATTGCCAGAGGTAAGGGCTCCAATCCTTCACCTCTCTCACTGAAGACTCAAGGGCAGTGATGCTCCCTAGGGAGCAAGTGATGAACTGGAAGCCCCAGGATCCCAGGCCAGAAGATAGCCTGCCACCACAGGGCCCTTCCACAGAGTGTGGACATGAGGAACAGAGATGGGAGTGTGCTTACCTGTTGATTGTCAGGGACCTTTCGTACCAGCACCTCAGTGATCTTCCGGGGCGTGTCACTATCATAATCCACTTCTCGCTCTCGGAGAACGGTGATGTCTGCCCCAACCCTGGCACAGCAAGGCCACAGCTGCCATATCTAACCTGTCCTTCTCCTATTCCAAGCTCACTGTGAACTTACAGCCTTCCTGCACCTCCCACAGAGCTCCCAATACCTTAGTGCACTTCCTACTACCCTCTAATATATTTCTCATTCACAGTTGCCTCTAAAATAATACACATATCTTAATTCAAGGAGCAAAAAAGCCTAGGTCCACTGAGGAGGGGACCAGAACACTAACCCTCCCCACTTCAGCCCTTTGTCAAGGGAAGGAAAGTCCCACCTTGGCCCCCCAGGTCCTAGGTAACTGGGTATGCATGGGTTGTCCCAAGTCAGGTAAAGGAGAACTGGCGGGGAAGGGGAAACATACTTCTCTGCCATCCGGTGCAGGGTCTTGAGGGAAGCTCGCATCTCCTCCTCAGCAAGCCCCACCAGCAGTCCATTGTCCTCTACCCCAATCTGGTAGACGGCCTCACCACGTCCCTCCTGGAGCCGCCACTTCATTTGTGTCACTAGGTGCTCAAAGCGGTACTGGGATGGATTCACCAGCTTCAACTTAGGGCAAGTGGGGTATCAAGAGAAGGTGAAATCAGAGATGTTCCTCCCAAACCACTGGTCCTGCTGCAAGGACCAGGACTTTCTCTTTCCACTTAAACTCCTCATATGTGATCCCCCTCCAACAGAACGAGGTACAGAGCCCTTAACCTGAACCATATCCTTAAACTGCTATAGATTATGAAGTTGGGAGGCTCTCAGGGAAATTATCCTATGATGGCAAGGACAACCTACCCAGCCCCTGCTTTTCCCCCAGCCTGCAACTCACTTTGTATTCAATGTTTCCATCTTCAGCCTGAAAAGAAACAGTGAGCAGTTACCATACACTGTCCAGACCCAATCCCTACTTCCCTTCAATTCCCACTAGAGTCCAGGTAGCTAACTTGAGAAAGCAGGAAGCCCCACTGGCACCTGCTCAGGCAAGTGCCTGCCAAAGGTCAGTGGCAGACAAGATCCTCTATTTAGCCCCAGCACAGCCTCTAAGAAGGGAAGGCCAATAAGGACACAGGGAGTCACCCGTTAAACCAGGAACAGAACTCTCAACCAATCCGTTCAGCACATTCTTCCTAGATGCAAGTTCATCCCTTCCTCCCCACCTCCAGGGCCTCAAACCTGCTTTTCCCAGAAGTCTACGTCTCCTCTGTGCCCAGGCTATTAAAACCTTTCTTTGCCACTGGTCTAGGAGACACCATCTTCTCCCTGCCTGCCCCTCTCAGTTGATGTCATCTAGAGTAAGAGACTACAAGAGGTTCTGGATCAGAGCCAAAGGGTGAGCTCAGCAATGGTCACTACAAGCCTGATGACCAAGAAGATCTAGGTGAGAGAGGAGCAGAGGTTCAAAGCTGGGGCTGAGAGAAACAGAAAAACTCAGAAAATGTAATGAAATGGACAGACTCACTATGACCTTTACTGCCTGCCCCCTAACGTTTATGATTCAGTGGAGGTGAAATCCTGAATCCACCCCGCAGCCTCTTCTAGCTCCAGGTGGTGGCACAGCACAGAAGCACCCTGTTGCCTGAGACTTCTCCTCCCAGGTGCAAAGAGATATGGGATTTGTCTGTCTGGCCAGTCTGAATTTCTCTACTCCCCTCTCTGGATATTTTATCTTCCCTCTTCCCTTCCTGTCATCATTCCATCCCTTCAAGGCTCTCTGGCTCTCAGATCCTAATGGGTCTTCACTCATAATCTCCACCTCATGGTGGGTTTAGATTACTTTTTTTCCCATCAACAAAAACCTTCCAGAAACCTTTTAATCATTTTCCTGGGGATAGTTGGCTTCGGAAATGTGGTACAAGAATGACAGTCTAAGGCCCAGACCAATGGTTTCCAAAGTGAGGTCCTGGGACCTCACATGAGAACATTAGCATTAGCATCACATGAGAACTTGTAAGAAATGCAAATTCTCAGGCCCATCCTCACTAGTAAGAATCAGAAATTCTAGGTTGGGCGCGGGGAGGCCGAGGCAGGTGGATTACCTGAGGTCAGGAGTTTGAGACCGGCCAATATGCCAAAACCCCTTGTCTACTAAAAATACAAAAATATCTGGGTGTGGTGGCGGCCACCTGTAATCCTAGCTACTCGGGAGGCCGACAGGAGAATCGCTTGAGAACCTGGGAGGCTGAGGTTGCAGTGAGCTAAAATCGCATTACTGCACTCCAACCTGGGCAACAGAGCGAGAATTCGTCTCAAAACAAAACAAAACAAAAAAGTAGCCGGGCTTTGGGGACCAGCAATCCAGATGGTTCTGATACATGCCAAAGTTTGATAACCACTGGCTCAGGCTGTGAGTGTGCCCGTGTGTGTGTGTGTGTGTGTGTGTGTGTGCGCGCGCGCGCGCGCGCGCAGAGGGAACATACTGCTCTTTTCCCGGGACTCCCCTTCTCCCTGCGGAACAAATTTAGAAGTGGTGGTTACTCTGCCTGCCTCTCGTCCCAGGATGCAGTATCTCTTCCTTATGGCTGCACACGCAGTTGGTCGGGGTGCTCTTCCTAGGATCCCCTTTCTCTACTTCTCTCCTGGGGTAATCTAGATCAGAAGGGGCAGTCCTCTCTCTTCACTCTTCCTCCGTGAGGTCCTGTCCCCTTAAGGTCCAGTCTCTCTGCCCTTCCTCACTGGGGTCCCGAGACCGGAAAGAGGGGTTCTCCTCCCGTGTCCCTCCTCTCTGGGGTCTCGACACCGGAAGGGAGGATTAATTCTCTGGGTCCCGCCTCCCTGGAGTCCCGGGCCGAATAGAGTGGCTTCTTCCCGCCCCACCACTTCTCAGGTGCTCACCTCGGGGGGCAGGTACGGAGGGTTGTTGGCTTTGCCCCCTCTGTTCCTTCCGTTCTTCTTCTTCCCCTTCGGGCCCCCGCAGCCGCTGCTGCTGCCGGCCCCCCTTGCCTTGAGGGTTCCGCCCACGGTCGGGCCCCCTCCGGGCCGGCAGCAGCCGCCGAACAGCTCCGATACCCGCGAGTCCATCCGCCGCCGCCGCCGCCAGCCCCCCGCCCGGCCCCTCCCCCGGCCGCCGCCAAAGCCGCCGCCGCCGTCGCCGTCGCCCTTACTGCCACTGCCTTGTCCTGCCGGCCTTAGCAGAGCGGGGTGGGGCCCTGCATAAGCCACGCCCCCACCTCCCTGGCCTCCCTGTCGCGTCAGAAACAGCCGCGGGGTACCACGGGACATAGAGTCCCCAGGCTTGGAAACTCGCTCAAAAGGACACACCACCGCCCTACAATTCCCAGGAGGCGTCGCGGCGTAAGTGGCCGCGGGAGTCATCGGAGGCGTGGGAAAGAAGCGCGCCGTGGCGCGCAAAGGCCTAAGGGAACTGTAGTCTGGATTCCAGTCCCCGCGCTCTGAACGGGTCTTTCTCTAGGGCTTTGGGGGGTTCAGAGCCTCGCGGCCTGGGGTGGGGACGCGAGGATACCAACGTCAAAGACCTTACATCAGAATCGAGCTTTGTGGGCGCTCCGGGGTTTGGCCCTTTAGCGTGGATCCTAGACAACATGTTTTGGACCTCGAGAGCTGCCGAACTGAGGGCTATTGGTCCCGCCAGCCTGCTGGCTCCGCCTCTGCCTCAGTTTCTTCCCCAATGGCCCGCGTGCCGCTGGGATGAGTCAGGACGAACGCCAGCGCAGAGGCGGATGGTGATTAACCAAATTACGGTTGTTATTGTTGCAGTGATTATGCCACCTTTACATAGTAGTCACTGCTTTATTACCAGGCTGGCATCATCCAGGGGCTGGTTTTAACAGCCGGAGGCACCGCGGTGGCCCCAACACGAGACCCGAACCCGTAAACCAACTTGCTGCCTTCAGGCTGCAAGCATACCTAAAGCAAGTATTCCTCCTCCCCTTTGTTTTGAAGCAGAACCAATTGGGAAGAACGGAGTTTGGTTTTAAACGGCCAAGACTGTAGGAGGGGCCTGGCCCCTACTTCGGGCGGGGCTGGAGCTCTGGTTACATCAACCACCACTAGGGCGGGGATGTGGCTGGGAATAGAAACTTGGCGTAGGGCCTCAGGTGATTGTTGACTTTTGACTTTCTTGAGAAGCCATCTCCTGCTCTTTAGTGCTGTTGTATTCTACAGAGTACACACATTCAGCGACAGAAACTAGTGCACAGAACACCAGCAAGGCAGGATGGAAAAGCAGTTATGTTGCTGAGCTGCGAGTCAGGACGCCAGGGCTCAATTCACAGCCCCATGGCTGTCTCATGACTCACCACTCACAGTGTGTCCACATCCCCTCTCTTACTGAACTGCGAGGTGCTTATATACGATTAAGAAGTTAAACAGCCCGGCGCGGTGGTGTGTGCCTGTAGTCCCAGCTACTCGGGAGGCTGAGGTGGGAGGATCACTTGAGCCCAGGAGTTCTGGGCTGTAGTGCGCTATGCCGATTGGGTGTCTGCACTAAGTTTGGCATCAATATGGTGATCTCCCAGGAGCGAGGACCACCAGGTTGCCTAAGGAGGGGTGAACCGGCTCAGGTAGGACACTGAGCAGGTCAAAACTCCCGTGCTGATCAGTAGTAGTATCGAGCCTGTGAATAGCCACAGCACTCCAGCCTGGGCAACATAGCAAGACCCCATCTCTTAAAAAATAAAATAAAATAGCTTTGTGCAGTGGCAGTATCATAGCAATGAGGTTTATCCGAGGCGCTATTATTTCTCATTTAAAACTTTTCCCAATACTCCGCCATGACGACTTGAAATAAGAGCATTGGCAATTTTTGACAGTCTCTACGGAGACTGAATTTAAAAATAAAATAAAAATAAATGTTAAAAAAAAAAATTAAACAACTTGGCCGAGCATGATGGCTCACGCCTGTAATCCCAGCACTCTGGGAGGCTAAAGTGGGTGGATCACCTGAGGTAAGGTGTTTGAGACCATCTGGCCAACATGGTGAAACCGTGTCTCTACTAAAAATACAAAAATTAGCTGGGCATGGTGGCACATGCCTGTAATCTCGGCTACTCAGGAGGCTGAGGCAGGAGAATCGCTTGAACCTGGGAGGCGGAGGTTGTGGTGAGCCGAGATCACACCATTGCACTCCAGTCTGGGTAACAACAGCGAAACTCCAACTCAAAAAAAAAAAAAGAGAGAGATCGAGACCATCTGTCTCTACTAAAAATCAAAAAATTAGCTGGGCATGGTAGCGCATGCCTGTAATCCCAGCTACTCAGGAGGCTGAGGTGGGAGAATTGCTTGAACCCAGGAGGCGGAGGTTGCGGTGAGCTGAGATCACGCCATTGCACTCCAGCCTGGGTAACAAGAGCAAAACTCCATCTCGAAAGAAAGAAAGAAAGAGAGAGAGAAAGAAAGAAGGAAGGAAGGAGAGAGAAAGAAAGAAAGAAAGGAACTCTTCTCTCCAGAAAGAGACAAAGAAAGAGAGAGGAAAGAAAGAAAGAACTCTTCTCTTCAGACCTCAGTTTTCCTTGGAAAACTAGAAGCAGCAACAATGACTTACCTCTGGTGATCCCTTCAGGGGTTCAGACTTGGTAGAGTCCATGGCTTCCTCCCAGGACCACAAGGAGGGAGGCAGGTCTACGGATCATGCTGTCCATGTAGCATAATTTCCCAAACCAGTGAGAGCAGAAAGACCAAAATCTGCAAAAGGGCCTAGCAGACTCTAGGCCAATTATGTAGGTCTTCAGTGTTTGAAAGCACATGTGACTTTTCTCAATCCTGTGCCACTGAAGGAAAGGTTATGCTGTAGAGGTCAACCCTAGGCAGGGACACAGACCTGCTAGGGAAATTGCTGCTCAGAGACAGAGACTAGAAAACTCAGTGAGAGATCTCAAGAAGGATGGGGACTGGAAGAAAGAGATAACACCACTCTCCCAACATTCTCACCATGACCAGTCCTAGGCCCTCTTGATAACCAGAGCCTGCTGCACTTGTTTGATAAAATGCTTCCCTTCATAGACGTGGATTTTTTTTTTTTTTTTTTTTTTTTTTGAGACGAGGTCTCTCTCTGTCACCCAGGCTGGAGTGCAGTGGTGTGATCCCAGCTCATTGCAGCCTCAATCTCCCCTGCTTAAGCAGATCCTCCCACCTCAGCCTCTAGAATAACTGGAACTACAGGGCAAGCCACCACACCAAGCTAATTTTTGTTTTTACTGTGTGTAGAGACGGGGTCCCCCTATGTTTCCTAGGCTGGTATTCAACTCCTGGGCTCAAGCAATCCTCTTGCCTTGGCCTCCCAAAGTGCTGGAGTTACAGGTGTGAGCCACCACACCTGACCCAGTATTTTATTTTTATTTTAATTTTATTTATTTATTTTTATTTTATTTTTTGAGACAGGGTTTCACTCTTCTTTTTTCTTTTCTTTTCTTTCTTTCTTTTTTTTTTTTTTTTGAGACGGAGTTTTTCGCTCTTGTTACCTAGGCTGGAGTGCAATGGCGTGATCTCAGCTCACCGCAACCTCTGCCTCCTGGGTTCAGGCAATTCTCCTGCCTCAGCCTCCCTACTAGCTGGGACTACAGGCACGCGCCACCATGCCCAGCTAATTTTTTTTTGTATTTTTAGTAGAGACGGGGTTTCACCTCGTTGACCAGGATGGTCTCGGTCTCTTGACCTCGTGATCCACCCACCTCGGCCTCCCAAAGTGCTGGGATTACGGGCATGATCCACTGCGCCGGGCAGGGTTTCACTCTTGTTGCTCAGGCTGGAGTGCAATGGCGCAAACTCAGCTCACCGCAACCTCCAGCTCCTGGGTTCAAGTGATTCTCTTGCCTCAGCCTTCCAAATAGCTGGGATTACAGGTATGCGCCACCCATGCTTGGCTAATTTTATATTTTTAGTAGAGACAGGATTTCTCTATGTTGGTCAGGCTGGTCTCAAACTTCCAAACTCTGCCTTGGCCTCCCACAGTGCTGGGATTTATAGGCGTGAGCCACTGCACCTAGCCCGATTTTATTTATTTGTTTATAGATGGATTTTTGCTCTTTTTGCCCAGGCTGTCATGGAATGATGCAATCTCAGCTCTCCAAAACCTCTGTCTTCCGGGTTCACGTAATTCTCCTGCCTCAGCCTCCCGAGTAGCTGGGATTACAGGTTTATGCCACCATTCTGGCTAATTTTGTATTTTTTTTTTTTTTTTTTTGAGACAGAGTTTTGCTGTTGTTACCCAGACTGGAGTGCAATGGCACAATCTCGGCTCATCGCAACCTCTGCCTTCTGGGTTCAAGCAATTCTCCTGCCTCAGCCTCCCGAGTATCTGGGACTACAGGCATGTACCACCATGCCCAGCTAATGTTTGTATTTTTAGTAGAGACGGAGTTTCACCTTGTTGACAAGGATGGTCTCAATCTCTTGACTTCGTGATCCACCCGCCTCAGCTTCCCAAAGTGCTGGGATTATAGGCATGAGCCACCACGCCTGGCTATTTTTTTTTTTAAAGAGACGGGGTCTCACTATGTTGCCCAGGCTGGAGTGCAGTGGCAGTTCACAGGCGCGATCCCACTGCTGATCAGCACGGGAGTTTTGACCTGCTCCATTTCCGACCTGGGCTAGTTCACCCCTCCTTAGGCAACCTGGTGGTCGCCTGCTCCCGGGAGGTCACCATATTGATGCCAAACTTAGTAGGTCTTCAGTGGTTGAAAGCACATGTGCGGACACCCGGCATAGCGCACTACAGTCCAGAACTCCTGGGCTCAAGTGATCCTCCCACCTCAGCCTCCCGAGTAGCTAGGACTACAGGCACGTGCCACCGCACCTGGCTAATTTTGTATTTTTAGTAGAGATGGGATTTCTCCATGTTGGTCAGGCTGGTCTCTAACTCTTGACCTCAAGTGATCTGCCTGCCTTGACTTCCCAAAGTGCTGGGATTACAGGCATGAGCCATTGTGCCCAGCCCTATTTTACTTATTTTTTAAGGGTGTGGAGAAGGAGGAAGAGAGAGAATGATTGACTGATTGACTTTTTTTTTTTTTTTTTTTTGAGACAGGGTCTCCTCCTGTTACCCAGGCTGGAGTATGGTGGCGCAGTCTGGACTCACTGCAACTTCCACCCTCTGAGAGTGATTCTTCCACCTCTACTACTGGGATTCTTCCCCCAAGTAGCTTAGATTACAGGCATGTGCCACCATGTCTGGCTAAGTTTTGTATTTTTTGTAGAGAAGGGGTTTTGCCATGTTCCTCAGGCCAGTCTTGAATTCTTGGATTCAAGCAGTTCTCCCATCTCTGCCTCCCAAAAATTCTGGGATTACAGGTGTGAGCTACCATGCCCAGCCAGACTCAGTATATTAATCATTGTTTTTTTTTTGAGATGGAGTCTTACTCTGTTGCCCAGACTGAAGTGCAGTGGTGCCATCTTGGTTCACCGTAACCTCCGGCTTCCAGGTTGAAGCAATTCTCCTGCTTGAGCCTCCTGAGTAGCTGGGATTACAGGTGTCTGCCACCACCACACCCGACTAATTTTTTTTATTTTTAGTAGAGACAAAGTTTCACCATGTTGGCCAGGCTGGTCTCGAACTCCTGACTTCAGGTGATCCACCCACCTCGGCCTCCCAAAGTACTGGGATTACTGGTGTGAACCACCACAACTGGCCCGTTGTACTTTTATAGTATGCTTTGATCTCTGGTCCCTACTTCCTGAAACATACTCTTTTCTTGGCCTCTATGACCTGACACTTATCTTTTTCTTTATTTTTTTAGAGACAAAGTCTCACTATATTGCCTCAGAGTCGTCTTAAACTTATGAAGTCTGCCAGGTGTCATGGCTCATGCCTATAATCTCAGCACTTTGGGAAGCCAAGGCCAGTGGATCATCTTAGGTCAGGAGTTCAAGACCAGCCTGCCAACATGGCGAAAACCCATCTCTACGAAAAATACAAAAAATAGCTGGGCATGATGACAGGCGCCTGTAATCCCAGCCACCTGGGAGGCTGAGGCAGGAGAATTGCTTCAACCTAGGGGGCAAAGGTTGCCTTGAGTCAAGATCGCGCCATTGCACTCCAGCCTGGGCAACAAGAGCGAAATTCTATTTAAAAAACAAAAACAAAAACAAAACCACCCACAAAAAACTTCTGGACTCAAGCAATTCCTCTGCCCTCAAGAAATTCTCCCATTTCAACCTCCCAAAATGCTGGGATTACAGGAGTAAGCCACCATGCCCAGCCAGACCCAGTATTTTAATCATTGTACTTTTATAATATGTTTTGACCTCTGGTCCCTACTTCCTGAAATGCACTGTTTTCTTGGCCTCCATGATCTGATGGTTGTCTTTTTTTCTTTCTTTCTTTTTTAGGGACAAGGTCTTACTATGTTACCCAGACTGATCTCAAACTTCTAAATGCAAACACTCCCTCGCCTTGATCTCCCAAAGTGCTGGGATTAGAGGCGTGAGCCGCCATGCCTGGCCCCACTTGTCTATTTTGTTTTTGGAGGCAGGATCTCCCTCTGTCACCCAGGCTGGAGGGCAGTGGTGCAATCACAGCTCATTGTAGCCTCAACCTCCCAGGCTCAAGCAATTCTTCCATCTCAGCCTCACCAAGTGCTGGGAGTATAGGCATGAGCCACCTGCCCGGCCATTTGTCTATTTTTCTTTATCCTTCTGTCGGTATGCCTTAGTCTTCTCCATAGGTTGTCTCTCTGGTCATCCCCTAAACATTAGTGTCTTCAATATCCTAACCCATTCTCACTCCACATCATCCCTCGGTAATCTTATCCACTCATATACTGATGGCTCTTTTTTTTGAGATGGAGTGTCACTCTGTTGCCCAGGCTGGAGTGCAATGGCATAGTCTCGGCTCACTGCAACCTCTGCCTCCTGGGTTCCAGCAATTCTCCTGCTGCAACCTCTTGAGTAGCTGGAATTACAGGCATGCACCACCATGTCCAGCTAATTTTTGTATTTTTAGTAGAGACAGGGTTTCACCATATTGGCCAGGCTAGTTTCGAACTCCTGACCTCGTGATCCACCTTCCTCGGCCTCCCAAAGTGCTGGGATTACAGGTGTCAGCCACCATGCCCAGCTGCTAATGGCTCTTAAATACTTATCTCTATTCCAAATGGCATTCCTCAGTGTTTCCATTCATTGTCCTATGGAGACATCAAATTCAATCTGTGAAAAACTGAACTCATCTTTTCTCCTACTCACCTCCCACCTCAATAAATCTGGTACTCTTTTAGTGTTTCCTCCATCCTTTTTTTTTTTTTGAGACGGAATTTTGCTCTTGTTGCCCAGACTGGAGTGCAATGGCTCAATCTCAGCTCACCATAACTTCTGCCTCCTGGTGTCAAGCCATTCTCCCGCCTCAGACTCCTGAGTAGCAGGGATTACAGGCATGTGCCACCATGCCCAGCTAATTTTGTATTTTTAGTATAGACGAGGTTTCTCCATGTTGGTTAGGCTGGTCTCAAACTCCTGACCTCAGGTGATCCGCCTGCCTCAGCCTCCCAAAGTGCTGGGATTACAGGCATGAGCCACCATACCTGGCCCCATCCTTTTTTTTTTCTTTTTGAGTCATTGTCTCGCCTTGTTGCCAAGGCTGGAGTGCAGTGGCATGATCATAGCTCACTGTAAGTGTTGAACTCTTGGAATCAAACAATCCTCTGCCTCAACCTCCTGAATAGTTGAGATTATAGATGTGTACCATGACATCTGGCTAACTTTTTTTAAAATTTAAATTAAAAAATTTTTTTCTTTTTAAATCAAAGCTACTGCAAATCAATTTAATTTTTAATTTTGCAGAAACAGGGTCCCCAATGTTGTCCTGGCTGGTAGCGAACCCCTGGCTTCAGCACCCTCCTTCCCTCTGACATTGAATGGCACAGCTGACCTTACAATTGCTGAGGTTAGAAACCTGCTTGTTTTCTTGTCAGTCTCTTTCTATTCCTCCTCCTCCTTGCATCAATCACCAAGTTATGTTTACTAGACCTCCTAAATATTTCGAGTTTACCCAATTATCTCCACCGAACTGTGACTACCCTAGTTTAGGCTGCTTTCATTAAGTACTTGGGTAACTGCAGTCACTACCTCTAACTGGTATCTCTCCCTCCTCTCTTATCCTCCTTGTAATCCAATCTCTACCCTACAGCCAGGGTAGAGATTAAATTTATAAGAAGTAATTTAATCAGGCCACTTTCCTACTTAAACCTTTCAAAGCTTCCCCATCCGCCTACAGGATCAAGTCCAAACTCTCACGTGGCTTATACAGTCCTGCCATGGTCTGGGTTCTGTTGTTCACTACAGCCTTAACTCTTTAAAATATGAATTCTTTTCATTGCTTGGACAGAGTATGCTCTTGTCTCAAGGTCTGTAGGAGCTCTAGGCCCTCCTCTTTACCTTGCTGACTTATCCTACAGGTCACAGATTCACCTATTTTTTCTGCGACCACGCCTTCCCAGCCCCTACGCACGCTTGCTTTTTGCTTCCACAGCCCGTGTACACGCTTCTGTATAATTTATCACACTGTATTGTATCTACAGGCAGTGAACCCCTTGAACACGGGGTCTGTGACTGGCTTGTTCTCTGCTGAGTCTCCAGGATCTAGAACAGGGCTTGGCACGAAGGAGGTGCACAGTGGGTAGTGAATGCAGGAGTGAATGGATGCGGGAGGGCTGGTGTCTTTTGGAAAGGAGCGCTCGATGGCTGAGAAGCCTGCTGGGCAAGGGCTGGGTGTACACCTGCCAGGGTGTTAAGGAAGGAAAGCAGGATTCAAATCCCATCCATCTAGCCTCCCCAACACTGCGACGGCGCCGCGCCTTCTTCCGGCCCATCTGAGCCGGAAGTGGAGGCGTGGGCTTCCCATGATGCCCCGCGGGATCTTTATCGTAACCGCAAGGAGTAGAGGGAGGTGGTCGAGATGGCGGCGCCGGAGGCGGCCTCGGTCCCTGGTAAGACATGGGGTCCAGAGTTTGGGGAGCCTTGGGGACCTGTTTCTTTCCTACTGTCGCGCCCTCCATTCATTTATCCCCTGGTCCTCTCCCCAGCCCGTCTTCCCTGTCTTCCGGGTGTCCTACACGGCTCTGGCTGTCACTCCATCGCCCTGGGTCGTCCTGGACCCTGCTTGACTACACTTTTGACTTACTTACCCAGATCAGGTCCCGCTGCTTTCTAAGCGGAGCCCTAGTACTACTTCCGAAATCCCCCCACTATCTTGCAGTCAGTTAAATCTCAGGCAACAGGAATCAGGAATCTCTCCCTGCCTCTCCCACACTGTAGGCTGCGGAGGGTATGTGCGTATGTCGGAGTGCCCCTTTTCGCAGGGTGGCAGGTATGGTGGCCACAGGGAATCAGAAGATTGACTTTGGCTTTTAGGTTTTTAATTTTTCTCTCTTGACCCTCTTTTCACCTTCCAGATTTGGAGTGGTATGAGAAGTCCGGAGAAACTCACGCCTCTCAGATAGAACTACTTGAGACAACCTCTACCCAGGAACCCCCCAACCCTTTGGAGCCCTTTTGCCCAAGAGACTGCATGGTACCAGTGGTGTTTCCTGGGCCTGTGAGCCAGGAAGGCTGCTCTCGGTTTACTTGTGAACTTCTAAAGCATATCATGTACCAACGCCAACAACTACCTCTACCCTATGAACAGCTTAAGCACTTTTACCGAAAACCTTCTCCCCAGGTAGGCACAGGCTTTGGAGCAAGTTGGTGGGAACACTTTGTGGCTCTTAGATGGGAGGCAGGTAGAAAAGGGGATCACAAGGTCAAGAGATCAAGACCATCCTGGCCAACATAGAGAAACCTGTTTAGTAGAGAAATCTCTACTAAAAATACAGAAATTAGCTGGGCATGGTGGCATGCACCTGTAGTCCTAGATACTTGGGAGACTGAGGCAGGAGAACTGTTTGAACCGAGGAGGCAGAGGTTGCAGTGAGCCAAGATCGCACCACTGCACTCCAGCCTGGCAACAGAGCAAGACCCTGTCTCAAAAAGAAAAAGAGAAAGAAAAGGGGTCTAAAATCTTCAGAGCCTGTCAGCCTAAGCAACTTCCAGGGCTTTAGTCACTTTCTCCCTACTCTAGTCTTTGGTAGCCTAACCCTTCTGGCTTTTTCTCCTCTTCTTTCTTTCAAACTCATGTGTTGCATTTGGACTTAATGAACTGTCTCTTTTCAAGTCTCCCTCTTTCTGCCAGGCTGGAGTGCAGTGGCACCATCTCTGCTCACTGCAACCTCCATCTCCTGTGTTCAAGTGATTCTTCTGCCTTAGCCTCCCCAGTAGCTAGGATTACAGTTACGTGCCACAATGCCTGGCTGATATTTGTATTTTTAGTAGAGACAGAGTTTCACCATGTTGTCCCGGCTGGTTTCAAACTCCTGACCTCAAGTGATCTGTCCGCCTCAGCCTCTCCCAGAGTGCTGGGATTACAGGTGTGAGCTACTGTGCCTGACCTGCACGTTTCTTTTTAATAGCATCCTGTTGTTTAATTTCTGTAGGAACTACTTTTTTTTTGAGATGGAGTCTTGTTTTGTCACCCAGGCTGGAGGACAGTGGCACAATCTTGGCTCACTGCAACCTCCATCTCCCAGGTTCAAGTGATTCTCCTGCCTCAGCCTCCCGAATAGCTGGGATTACAGGCATGCACTACCACACCCGGCTAATTTTTTTGTTTGTTTATTTTGAGACAGGGTCTTGCTCTTGTCGTCCAGGCTGGAGTGCAGTGGTGCCATCTCAGCTCACTACAACCTCCACCTTCCATGTTCAGGCAATTCTCCTGTCTCAGCCTCCCAAGCTGCTGGAATTACAAGCATGTGCAACCACGCTGGGCTAATTTTTGTATTTTTAGTAGAGACAGGGTTTCACCTCTTGAAGTCCTGACCTCAGGTGATCCACCCACCTTGGCCCCCCAGAGTGTTGGGATTACAGGTGTGAGCCACCCCCCGACCACATCCCACCCCCATGAACTTCTTTTGCCTGAGGATATTATTGAATTTTTGAAGTTTTTCTTTGTTCCTTGCAGTATCTCAGTTTCTTCCAGAATCCATTCCCCATTTGTTCTGGTCTTTGACTTCCATGTTGGAGGCTTTTATTCTGTGTCTGGTGAATATTTAAGAATAAATCAGGCCCAGCACTGGTGGCTCACACCTGTAATCCCAGCACTTTGGGAGGCTGAGGCAGGTGGATCACTGGAGGTTGGGAGTTTGAGACCAGCTGAAACAACATGGAGAAACCCTGTCTCTACTAAAAATACAAGATTAGCTGGGTGTGGTGGCAAATGCCTATAATCCCAGCCACTCGGGAGGTTGAGGAAGGAGAATTGCTTGAACCCAGGAGGCGGAGGTTGTGGTGAGCTAGATTGTGCCATTGCACTCCAGCCTGGGCAACAAGAGTGAAACTCCATCTCAAAAAAAAAAAAAAAAAAAAAAGAATAAATCATTACAAGCTCTGTTTGCATACGTAGGCCTTAGGAACTGATAGACTTCACTATAAGGAGATTAGATGGGAACCTGGTGATCTCTTTGTTGGGGGATTCTTTAAACATAATATTGGAAAATCTTCCCTCTGGTGAGGGAGAAATTTGGCAGGTGATCTAAGCGTCTTTACACAGATTTCTATTCATTTCCCCATATTCACTCTAGCCTCTGTGGTGCCTATATCACCAATTACTAAACCTTTATGGGGTTCTGCTCTATGAATCAGTTTGGATCCCTTGGGAGTCCCTTCTGTCAGCACTTGGTATTCAGCTCACTTGAACTCTTAACTCCTCATCTGCTTTTTTTTTTTTTTTTTTTTTTTTAAGACAGGGTTTCACCATGTTGGTCAGGCTGGTCTTGAACTCCTGACCTCAGGTGATCTGCCCACCTTGGCCTCCAAAGTGTTTGGATTACAGGTGTGAGCTACCATGCCCGGCCTCTTCATCTGCTATCTTCCAAAACTTTGTGTTTGCCTTTGGCCAGTGTTGTATAGTCTCCAGTTCTTTTGCCCTTTGGCGTTCTCTTTCTTGCTCTTTCCTTTCTTTGTTTCTTAATTTCTTTCCTCTCATTTTGTAGTATTTCAGGTGGAAGCACAAATAAGCATGTGTTCAGTTTACTATTTAAGTGGAAGAACAAGTTCAAAGTTATGTTTATTAGACCAAATAATCCTCATTCCTGTTATCACTTGTCATGCCATCAAATCTCTTGTTTAGTTGCTTATATCTGGATGCCCTCCACCTTCAGAACACTGTTTGCTCCTCTAAATGTGGGAGAATTATGGTTTTGTACAAATAATATATTTTCCTTTTCAATATAATGCCCTCTGATAAAACACAGTGTTTTAGCTATGGCAGTTCATTGAGCTAGAACTTTAGTCCTGTAAGTCTATGTACACATCCCAGCAGGGTTCTTTTCAAAGGGCATTAGCTTCTCCTTGTCTTATCCTTCTCTCCCACCATTGTTTGTCCTTACAGACAGAGGAGATGCTGAAGAAGAAACCTCGGGCCACCACTGAGGTGAGCAGCAGGAAATGCCAACAAGCCCTGGCAGAACTGGAGAGTGTCCTCAGCCATCTAGAGGACTTCTTTGCACGGACACTAGTACCACGAGTGCTGATTCTCCTTGGGGGCAATGCCCTAAGCCCCAAGGAGTTCTACGAACTCGACTTGTCTCGGCTGGCCCCCTACAGCGTGGATCAGAGCCTGAGCACAGCAGCTTGTTTGCGCCATCTCTTCAGAGCCATATTCATGGCTGATGCCTTCAGCGAGCTTCAGGCTCCTCCACTCATGGGCACCATCATCATGGCACAGGGACACCGCGACTGTGGAGAAGATTGGTTTCGACCCAAGCTCAACTATCGAGTGCCCAGCCGGGGCCACAAACTGACTGTGACCCTGTCATGTGGCAGACCTTCCATCCGAACCACGGCTTGGGAAGACTACATTTGGTTCCAGGCACCAGTGACACTTAAAGGCTTCCGCGAGTGAATGAGCGCTTCTTAATCCTGAAAACACAATGGCTGAATTATCTTTCTCCATGTGGCACTGAATCACCTATCTAGTTTGGAGCTAGAGTTGCTTCCTGGTGAGAGAGGAAGCAACTCTCCTTTTGGTTGTCTGCCTCCTTCCTCAGATTTCCTGGTGGGCTGATGGCATGTAGCTGTGACTGTAATCATTGCTGAACAACATCTCTTTGAATCAAAGGTTGATCTTCCCAGAGGGTGCTGGGTCAGTGTTTCTGTTAGGGATTGGAAAGCAAAGATGGGTCCATAGACAGACACTCTATGGAGGTGGCCCTTTCTGCTCTTTGCTGTGTTCTTTCTGAATTTTTACCAGGAACATAATGTGGATGTGACTCATGAACTTAAATATAAATAGATTCTTATTATATTTTCCTGAAACTGTTTTGACTTGAAGAAACTTGTCAGGCTTGGCCAGGTGCAGTGGCTCACACCTGTAATCCCAACACTTTGGGAGACTGAGGCGGGTGCATCACGAGGTCAGGAGTTCAAGACCAGCCTGCTAAGATGGTGAAACCCCGTCTCTACTAAAACTACAAAAAAGTTAGATGGGCATGGTGGTGGGTACCTGTAATCCCATGTTCTTCAGCCTAGGTGACGAGTAAGACTTGTCTCAAAAAAAAAAAAAAAAAAAAAGGCTGGGCGTGGTGGCTCATGCCTATAATCCCAGCACTTTGGGAGGCCGAGGTGGCAGATCACAAAGTCAAGAGACGGGACCATGCTGTCCAACACGGTGAAACCCCGTCTCTACTAAAAATACAAAAATTAGCTGGGCATGGTGGTACACGCCTGTAGTCTCAGCTACTTGGGAGGCTGAGTCAGAAGAATTGCTTGAACACAGGAGGTAGAGGTTGCAGTAAGCCGAGATCATGCCACTGCTTTCCAGCCTGGTGACACGGAGACTCTGTCTCAAAAAAAGCCTTGTCAGGCTTGATTGAGGCTATTTTGTCTTTCTCCTTGGCCTCTTCTGCTTCAGGGCTTCTAGAATTTTTTGTTTTGTTTTTTTGAGATGGAGTCTTGCTGGAGTGCAGTAGCACAATCTTGGCTCATTGCAAGTGATGTGATTCTCCTTCCTTAGCCTCCTGAGTAGCTGGGACTGCAGGTGCCTACCACCACACTCAGCTAATTTTTGTATTTTTAGTAGAGATAGGGTTTCAACATCTTGGCTGGCTGGTCTCAAACTCCTAACCTCAAGTGATCCACCCGCCTTGGCCTCCCAAAGTGCTGGGATTACAGGTGTGAGCTACCGTGCCCAACCTTAGGATTTTTTTACTAAGGTTTTTTTTCTCTTCTTTAGCGCCAGGCTAGTCTAGGAAGTTAAGTGACTTGGCCAAGTGCATATGTAGTTTGATGGAGTTAGGACTGTAATCCTCATTAGCTATCTTTTAACCAACATGCTTTTCTTACAACATACAGGTTTTTGTGATGCTTAAATTCTGTATCCTCCAAAGTAGAGGCCACCTTTATTTGGAAGGATTCTGGTAAGGAACTTAGCTTACCAGGCTACTGAATGAGAGCAGTCATTTCAGGAAATAGTCTGGCTCTGTGCTTCATTTGTAGTAAACTCTGAGCAGGTGTGCTGATTAGTGAGCTGGGAGGAACCACCATGCTCAGCCAAACATCTGTTTTTGGAAGCAAGTTGAAGACAGAATCCTCACCTTGCTGGTGTTGGGGATAGGTGTATGCATGTGTATGTATGATATAAAAATTTTATTTATAGGTCAGGCAGGTGACTCATGCCTGTAATCCTGGCATTTTGGGAGGCCGAGGCAGGCAGATTGCCTGAAGTCAGGAGTTGGAGACCAGTCTGGCCAACATGGTGAAACTGTGTGTCTACAAAAAATACAAAAAAATTAGCCAGGCATGGTGGTGGGTGCCTGTAATCCCAGCTACTCGGGAGGCTGAGGCAGGAGAATTGCTTGAACCTGGGAGGCAGAGGTTGCAGTGAGCCAAGAACTGCACTCCAACATGGGCAACAGTGAGACTCCATCTCAAAAAAAAAGTATATATGTACACACATATATACATAGTATAAGATACATGTATGTACACATGTATTTTTTGTATACTATTTTGTATACATAGTGTAAGTTACATATATGTACACATGTATCTTTTTGTATACTATACACAGTATGTATACTATTTTTTAGTATACATACTATGTTTTAAGCACTTACATACATTATCTAACCCTGACAACTTTGCAGTGCATGAATTATTGTCCCCATTTTATACATGAGGTTGGGGGAGATTGAGCAGCTTGCCTAAGTGGTGAAACTTGGATTCATCTACACTCCCGCACATCCAATGTGATTTTACTCTGAAATATTTAGCCAGGATTTGCCTTGCCAAAGGCATTAGCATCAAAAAGCTTCAGGATTCCTTTCTGGCTTTAGATTCTTGTGTCTGCCATGGATCCTGCAATAGGTGCTGAGTAAATATGGAATTAATGAAAGCAAAACACCTGGGCTCTTTTCTGTGCTATGGCTACTCGAGAGAGATTCTGCCAATCAGAATTTTGGCTGTTTTTCTGTCTAATGCTATTATAGAGCAGAGATTGGGCCTTGTCTCCCACTCAGGGAAAGGAAAGGCTGAGGGGTCTGCCTAAAGGGAGTGCAGGTGGTCCTGAACAAAGGAGTCGTAAATCGTTTTGAGATAACACATTAAGCCAAACAACTCCCTAAATATTAATTTTATTTATTTACTTGTATTTTTGAGATGGAGTCTCACTCTGTTGCCTAGGCTGCAGTGCAGTAGCATGATCTTGGCTCACTGCAATCTGCCTCCCAGGTTCAAGCAGTTCTGCCTCATCCTCCCAAGTAGCTGGGATTACAGGCCTGTGCCACCATGTCCAGCTACTTTTTTTATTTTTAGTAGAGATGGGGTTTCGACATGTTGGCCAGGTGGTCTCAAACTCCAGACCTCAGGTGATCCACCCATCTCAGCTTCCCAAAGGTCTGGGATTATAGTTGTGAGCCACCATGTCTGGCCAAATACTAAATTTAAAAGCCTTCATAAACAATGCCTAAGGCTGGGCATGGTGGCTCATGCCTGTAATCCTGACAGGGTCTCACTTTGTCACCCAGGCTGTAGTGTAGTGGTGTGTGATCTCAGCTCACTGCAGCCTCGACCTCCTGGGCTCAAGTGATCTTCCATGAGGCTGGAGGAGATTGAGTAGCTTGCCTAAGTGGTGAAACTTGGATTTGTCTACACTACTGCACATCCTGTGTGGTTTTACTCTGTAATATTTAGTCAAGATTTGCCTCCCAGAACTTTGGGAGTCTGAGGCGGGCAGATCACTTGAGCTTAGGAGTTCAACACCACTCTGACTAACATGGGGAACTCCTGTCTCTACTAAAAATACAAAAAAAAGATGGGCATGGTGGCACACAACTGTAGTCCCAGCTACCTGGGGGGCTGAGGTGGGAAGATCACTTAAGCCCAGGAAGTCTAGGCTGCAGTAAGCTAAGATCACACACCACTACATTCCAGCCAGGGTCACAAAGTGAGATCTTGTCAAGACAGACAACCCCCCAAAACCAACAATGCCCAGATAATTAAAGTATCTGGGTAATTTAGACACTTATTTGTCTACTGGGACCTGGGTCATTCTGATTTCATGAGTGCTCTTCAAAGGAATCCAGAAATGAAAATACCAATTAGCAACATTAACAGTAAAGCCCATCTCCTTCCGTGGCAACAAGCTTGCTGAGGAACCTATTTATGTTTGTCCTTGGCTGGGGACTCAAGAAGTGAATGTGAAGAAGTGGTCTAGCGCAGGGAGTGAAGAGCTCCAGCTGCAGTGAGGTTCTGGTCTTTCATCTCTTGCTACCATTTGGATCTAAAAACAACAGTGTGGGTGGTAGTTGATGAGAAGGTGCAGTCTGTAAATGTCACCCTTTTTGTATCTCTCTCCTCACCCTCCTTTTAGAAGGTGTTACCCTATACCTTGCCCCATTGCCTAGATCTTCATTTGTCCTTTAGAATAGGGTAGATTAAAAAGCGGCTGGTGAAGATGGAAGAGAATGGATGGACCTCATTCTGTAAGACCTGGCTTGGGATGGGGTGGGGGTGGAGGCAGTGGGGTTGTCAGAATCTTATTTAGAGCCAGGAGGAATCTCAAATTCTTTTCTTCGCAGATCTTTCTGAGGTCAAGGAGTGACATGGCGGATGAAATAGTACAGTTAGTGTCAGTGTTGGGGGTTTGTATTGTTTTCTTTCCAGACCCCAGGTGCATATACGGTAAAGACTCTAAATGTCAACTACGTGAAAGGGCTCAGGGAGAGCCATTGAAAAAGGCTGGGTTGGGACCTCCAACCCCACATTGTAGCCTAACTGCAGTAGGGGAAGCCATGCTGTGGCCGTGACAACTGAACACATCCGGTCTCAAACTCCGGAAAGGAAGAGGGAGGGGGCTGTTTGCCCAGGCCTTACGTTAGGGCTCCGTGGGGAGGAGGGCTGGGCGGTAGGCGGTAGGGTGGGTGGAACCTAGCTTCGGGCTAGGCGGAAGGGCGGAGCTTCAGGTCTCCATGGAGATGGCTTCTCCTAGCAACCAGACGCGTTGAGCAGAGCCGCAAGCCTGATGGACGCCGAGAGCCTCCTGCTGTCGCTGGAGCTGGCGTCTGGCAGTGGGCAGGGCCTCAGCCCGGACCGTCGGGCCTCGCTGCTCACGTCTCTTTTGCTGGTTAAGCGCGACTACCGCTACGATCGGGTTCTCTTCTGGGGCCGCATTCTCGGCCTGGTCGCCGATTACTACATCGCGCAGGGCTTGAGTGAGGACCAGCTCGCACCGCGCAAGACGCTCTACAGGTGAGGAGGCCCTTGGTGCGGGGCCGCCGCCGGACCCCAGAGAGTGGCTACCTGGAGAAACGGGGGAGTGGGCGGGTCTTAGCAATCGAAAGGGGCGGGGCCCATAGGGCCAAGAGAGGGGTGGGCGGGAGCTGAGGTGAGTGGAATCGGGCAGGGCCAGAGGGGCGGGCCTGGGGACGGTCGAGGGGTGGTGGAGGAAAAGGGTGGGGATTGGGATGTCTCGGAATCTGAGGCTGGGGAGGAGCCTGAGGGGGCGCGGCAACGGACGGGCGAGGTCCCGGAGGGCGGGGCCCTGCGAAGACCTGTTTTCCTCCTGAAGAGGCCAAGAGAAACTTGGATGCAGATGGTTTACAGAAGAGAGGTAGGGTCAAGAACGGAGGGGAGGCAGTGGGAAGGTTTCTGGAAAATGCGGACCTGGAGATGAAGACAGGTGCTAGCCAAGTGTTGGGCCTGGCTCGGTTTGGAGAAGGGTCAGACGCCCGGAGGAGTGGGTGGTGCTCTTTGATGGGGGTGTCTGCTCTGCAGCTGGAGGCACTTTTGGAAGTAGAGAACGAATGCGGAATGGGGAGGGAGCTGGGGAAAATTCCCTGGTCTCTACCATACAAGACCATCCAGTCTCGCCCTCTCCTCCCCTCCCCTCTCCTCCCCTCCTCTCTTTCCCCCTCCCTTCCCCTCCCGTCCTCTTTCTTCTTTTATTGAGTCTCTCTCTGTCACCCAGGCTGGAGTGCAGTGGCGCAATCTCGGTTCACTGTAACCTCCCGGGTTCAAGCGAATCTCCTGCCTCAGCCTCCTGAGTAGCTGGGATTACAGACGCGCGCCACCACATCTGGCTAATTTTTTGTATCTTTAGTAGAGGCGGGGGTTTCACAGTGTTGGCCAGGCTGGTCTCGAACTCCTGACCTCATGATCCGCCCCCCCCCAGCCTCCCAGAGTGCTGGGATTACAGGCGTGAGCCAACGCACCGGGCTAATTATTTATTTATTTATTTTAATTTTTGTATTTTTAGTAGAGACAGGGTTTCACCATGCTGCCCCGGCTGGTCTCAAACTCCTGGCCTCAAGTAATCCACTTGCCTCAGCCTCCCAAAGTGCTGGGATTACAGACGTGAGCCACCACGACTGGCCAGCCTCTTTTTGACTATAGGGGAACTTACTACCTTACAAAGCAGTCCATTCGGCCAGCCTGGGCCATATAACAAGACCTCATCACTATTTAAAAAAAAAAAAAAAAAAAAAGGCCAGGCTTGGTGGCTCACGCCTGTAATCCCAGCACTTTGAGGGGCTGAGCTGGGTGTGGATGGATCACAAGGTCAGGAGATCGGGACCATCCTGGCTAACACAGTGAAACCCCATATCTATTAAAAATACAAAAATTAGCCAGGCATGGTGGCGGCACCTGTGGTCCCAGCTACTCTTGAGGCTGAGGCAGGAAAATTGCTTGAACCTGGGAGGTGGAGTTTGCAGTGAGCCAAGATTGAGCCACTACACTCCAGCCTGGGCAACAGAGTGACACTCTGTGTCTCAAAATAAATAAATAAACTTAAAAAATTAAAATGTCAGCACATTGACTCATACCTGTAATCCCAGCACTTTAATAGGCTGAGGTGGGCGGATCACGTAAGGTCAGGAGTTTGAGACCACGTTAGTCAGCTAACATGGTGAAACCTGTTTCTACTAAAAATACAAAAAATTAGCTGGGCATGGTAGTAGACAACTGCAATCCCAGCTACTTGTAAGGCTGAGGCAGGAGAATCTCTTGAACTCAGGAGGTGGAAGCTGCAGTGAGCCGAGATTTCGCCATTGCACTCCAGCCTGGGCAACAAGAGTGAAACTCCATCTCAAAAAATAACTAAGTAAAATAAAGCAGTTCACCTAGGCTGCAGGTAGTTGGAGACTTCATTCATCTATCCATGTATCAATACAACATTGATTGGGTGCACCCCATGCTAAACTTGGTTGCTAAGATGGCAGTGTACATCTGTCTCTGAGTTATTTCACATCCTAGGGAGGAAAACTGATGAGTCAATCAGCAATTCCAGCATGCTGTGTTGTACACAAAGGGAGACCAAGGTGGGCATTCTAGAGAAAAACCAAATAAGGTAACTAAGGGAGTAACTTGCATTGAGTTCTGAAAGATTGAAAGATGAGCAGGTATACTACAGGCAGGTTTTGAGGCAGTTAGAGGGAACAGTTAGACAAACTTGTTGGCTGGGGAAGGCTCAGAGTGTTTGGGAGAACAGGAGTACAATGTTGTATAGAACTGGTTCATGAGGCAAAAGGATATGGAACTTTGTTCATAGGTCATGGGGAACTACTGAGGGGCTTGCAAGAAGAGCCTGCTCAGATCACAGAGGGCAGAATGGCCTGAAAGTGTGGTGAGCACTGTGGTTAGGAGTTCATTGTAGTGTTTATAAGAATGAACCCTGAAAGGTAGAGGTAGCTGAGGGAGTGCAGAGGAGGGGATGGTTTGGAAAGATTTAAGTGCTAGAATTGTCAGTACATGTGACTGATTGGAGGAGGATGGTTGTAAAGAAGAGGTCGAGGCTGAGTCCTCCTTCTAGCTTAGACTACTAAATAAGTAAATACTAGCACCACTCAGGAGAGAATTCAGGGGCAGGACTAGGGAAGACATAGTGAATTTGGTGTGAGGTGCCTGAGTTATAAGGTGTTAAGAAGGCATTTGGAATACAGAAGAAAAAACTGAACTGAAGATAGAGATTTGTGATTTATTTCATTCTATAAGCATTTGCTGAGCACCTACTATGTACTACCATGTGCTAGGTATTGATTTAGACACCAGGAGTTCAGCGGTAAATGAAGTCCTTGTCTTCATGGAGCTTACATTGTAGTGTGTGTTTAGGGGGCAGAGAAGGGGAGATAGACAATAGCTAAACACACATCTATTACATGTCAGATGATGTTAAAAGCTAAGGGGGACAGAGAATACAGGATGGGGTACTATTTTAAACCACTATTTTAAATAGGTGGATCAGGGATAGCCTCTTTGATAAGGTCACATTTGAGAAGACACCTGAAGTGACTGAGAGCATGAGCTATAATAAATATCTGAGGGAAGAGAATTCTAGGCAAGTGCAAAGGCCCTGAGGCAGGTGTGTGCTTAGTGTGTTTGTGGAACCCTATGGAGACTAGTGTGGCTAGAGAGGAATGAGTGAAGGGAGTGTTGTAGGACACAAGGTCAGAGAGGTGAGGGGTGGAAAGCCATCATGCAGGGCCTTGCGGGCATTGCAAGACTTGGCTTAATGGGAGGCCATTGGAAGGTTCCACAGAGGAGTGACGTGATCTGGCTTAGGTGTGAACAGTTGGGTGGGACTAGTCCGAAGGGGAAATAGATGTGGAGGCAGGGAGACTAGTTAAAAGCCTACGGCAATATCTAGGTAGTAGGTGGCTTGGGCCAGGGTGGGAGCAGTGGAAGTGGTGGGAAGTGGTTGGATTCTGGTTACTGACTAGGCAGTAGCTGGGGCTCTGGAAGGCAGGTGGGTAAGACTGCAGAAAGAAAAGAGGGGTGAAAATAGGTCCCTGGAAATGCCTGAGGCCCTGGAGGAGGAGAAAGGGAGATGTCAGAGGAAATAGAACTGGAGATGCATTTGTTGGCGGTTAGGTGTCATGGCCTTCTCCTAAGCAGTTTCTTGAAGTGGTAGGGGCAGAAATCACAGTGCAGTAGGCTGAAGAGTGAAAAGGAGGGGGAGGAAAGGCACCCACAGGGCAATTGTTGTTCTGAGATTATTGTTGAGAGTTGGGGAAGTGGGAGGGAAGGACAGGAACAGCGTTTTCTAGAACTACGTAGATTTGGAGGGCTGCTGTTTTAGTAGGCTGAGCAGTTTTTATATTGAGGGGAATTGGTGGAGAGTAAAGGGCAGGAGGATGAGCAGAGACCAGGCTGGGGACCCAGGCCCAGGGTGTATTTGAGAGGAATGGGAAGGACCTCCTCTCCTAGCAGCAGGAAATGAGAAAAAAGGGAGCCGGTGGGCCTGGTGAGTGCTCCTGAAGACCTCAAATGAGAAGTCCTTGAGCATAGGCCTGGCATTCCTGAGAAATGGGAGGAAATGGTTGTGCTGTTGATTCAGTGGGCAGGCTGAGCATGAATTTAGGGCCCACCAAAACATGGGTCCCCATAACCGAAGAAAGTTCAGCTATCAGAAACTCATCTGGAATTTCAGTCTGGATATCTAGGAAGAGGCTCATTTAATTTCAGCACATATGGAATGAATGAAATTGAATCTGCTTATACATATGAGGGTGGGTTCACTATTGGCACTTGGAGCTTTCGTTTGTTTGTTTTTGAGTCAAAGTCTTACTCTGTCACCCAGGCTGGAGTGCAGTGGTGGGTCCTTGGCTCATTGCAACTTCCACCTCCCAGGTTCAAGCGATTCTCCTGCCTCAGCCTCCTGAGTAGCTGGGACTACAGGCACGTACCACCATGCCCCATTATTTTTTGTATTTTCAGTAGCGATGGGGTTTCACCGTGTTGGCCAGGCTAGTCTCGAAATCTTGACCTTAAGTAATCTGCCTGCCTGCGCCTCCCAAAGTGCTTGGATTACAGGCGTGAACCACCACTTCTAAAGGTCTCACTACAGCACTGGGAGAAAAGATCACAATTTCAACAGCTTTTCCTGGGCCTAACCGACTAGAGAGAAGGGAAGATAGTAGGAAGACTGGGTGAGCAGGGAGTTGGAATCCAGGGGTAATGTGAATATTGTTGGCAGCCTGAATTGCACAGAGTGGAGCCTCTTGCCCCCTGCCACAGAGGAGATGGTGGCGCAGTCGTCTGTGGTGAAGGGCCGCTTCATGGGGGACCCATCATACGAGTATGAACACATTGAGCTGCAGAAGGTGAATGAAGGCGAAAAGGTCTTTGAAGAAGAAGTAGTGGTGAGTGAAGAGGAGGGAAGGACGAGGGCCTAAAAGAGGGCCTGGGCTCATCCAGAACCCAGCCCAGTCCAAATTATGGCAACAGGTACCATCATTATCCCCCTTTTTTTTTTGAGACAGGAATCTCACTGTGTTACCCAGCCTGGTCTCAAACGCCTGGGCTCAAATCATCCTCCTGCTTCAGCCTCCCAAGTAGCTGGAAGTACAGGCATGAGCCACCATGCCTGGCGACTGTTATTATTACCTTTATGCCACCTTGGTTATTGAGTATCTGGGTGTGCTGCTAGGCACCATGCTACTGTGTTTGTATCATCTGTTTTCATCCTTAAAACCCTATGGAGTTGGTACATTACTTTCCAGGTTGTAGAGAAGAGGACATTCTGCCAGTTTAGAGAGGTTAAGTGACGTGCCCAAAGCCACACAGCTAGCTCCTAAGCAACTGGATAAAGGCGGTGGGTAGGTTCTGGGGTGAGGACTGGGAGAGGTGGTGTTCTGTGCTATACTCTGGGGTCAGGGAATGTGCACAGACTCTCATATTTTAGTATCAGTTTTCATTTCACGAAACAGTATGTCAGATGTTCAAAATCCAAAGGTATAAAAAGGAGTATTGTAAAGTTTCCTGCTATCTCTGTCCACCAGTCACACAGGTCCTCTGTTTTAGGGGACATTAACTTTTTTTTTTTTTGAGACAGAGTCTCGCTGTCTTGCTCAGGCTGGAGTGCAGTGGTGCCATCTTGGCTCACTGCAACCTCTGCCTACTGGGTTCAAGTGATTCTCGTGCCTCAGCCTTTGGAGTAGCTGGCATTATAGGCACCTGACACCAAGCCCAGCTAACTTTTGTATTTTTAGTAGAGACAGGTTTTACCATGTTGGCCAGGGCTGGTCTCGAACTCCTGACCTCAGGTGATCTGCCTGCCTTGGCCTCCCAAAGTTTTGGGATTACAGGTGTGAGCCACCATGCCAGCCTGACATATTTTGCATGTGCATGTGTGTGTACATATGTGTATGTGTGCGTCTAAATTTTTCTGCTCAAAGTAGTGTCTGGATCAGAAGCTTTATCATGTCCTAGGAGTTAGAAATATAGAATCTTGGGCCCCAGCATCAGGCATCTGCCTTTTAAAAAATCCCCTGGTCATTTGAATTCACATTAACTTTTATTTTATTTTTAAGATAGAGTTTCATTCTTGTTGTCCAGGTAGGAGTGTAGTGGTACAATCTTGGCTCACTGCAACCTCAACCTCCTGGGTTCAAGGGATTCTCCTGTCTCAGCCTCCCAAGTAGCTGAGATTACAGGCATATGCCACCACGTCTAGCTAATTTTGTATTTTTAGTAGAGACAGGGTTTCTCCATGTTGATCAGGCTGGTCTCGAACTCCTGACCTCAGATGATCCACCCACCTCTGCCTCCCAAAGCACTGGGATTACATGCTTGAGCCACTGTGCCTGGCCTGAGTTCACATTAAATTTCTAGATGCTGCTTCTGGAGACATTTCATGCAAGTATAAGCCTCAACAAACACCATACCTACATATATTCTCTTTTTATCTTAAGAAACAAAACAAAACAAATGGCAGTATGTTATACACATGGTTCTGAACCTTGCTTTTTTTCATTTAACAATATATTTTGGAGCTCTTTCTATATCAGTGCCTTAAAGAGCCTTCCCATTCTTTTTGAGACTGAGTCTTGCTGTCCTGCCCAGGCTATAGTGCAAGGGGCTCATCTTGGCTCACTGCAACCTTTGCCTCCCGGGTTCAAATAATTCTCCTGCTGGAAGAATCCTAGTAGCTGGGATTACAGGCGCCTGCCGCCATGCCCAGCTAATTTTTTGTATTTTTAATAGAGATGCGGTTTTGCCATATTGGGCAGGCAGGTCTTGAACTTCTGACCTCAGGTAATCCTCCCACCTCAGCCTCCTAAAGTGCTAGGATTACAGGCATGAACCACTGTGCCTGGCTTATTTTTTTTTTCTGTAAAATTGAGATAACTGTATTTACTTTGCAGGCTTGTGTAGATTAAATTAGGTAACATAATTAAAGACCCTGGCCTCAGCACATAAAGCTTAGTGTCTACCTTTCCTTTGTAAATCGTTCAAGTAGGTAGTCTATGGCAAATAGGTGACCCAGTGACTCTCTAGGGGCCTAAATTGACATGCTTTCTCTGTCAAGCTCTTCCACAAAATCTCTATGAAATCCTTTTGTTCAGGGTTGCCCTAGATAGTAATTGTAACTAAATATCATCTCTGTAAAAAGGGTATGATATGGGGAAATGCTTGGGAAATAATGTAAAACTGAAGAGAAGGAATATGAAACAATATAAACTGTGACTCTAATTTTGCTTTAAATATATGCATAGAGGGCTGGGCACTGTGGCTCACCTTGTAATCCTAGCACTTTGAAGGCTGAAGCAGGCAGATTGCTTGAGCCCAGGACTTCAAGACCAGCCTGGGCAACATGGAGAAACCCCATCCCTACCAAAAATACAAAAATTGGGTGGGCAAGTGGCTCATGCCTGTAATCCCAGCACGTTGGGAGGCCAAGGCAGATAGATCACCTGAGGTCAGTTCAAGACCAGCCTGGCCAACATGGTGAAACTCTGTCTCTACTAAAAATGCAAAAATTAGCTGGGTGCGGTGGCGCATGCCTGTAGTCGCAGCTACTCAGGAAACTGAGGCAGGAGAATCACTTGAACCTAGGAGGTGGTGGTTGCAGTGAGCTGAGTTCATGCACTGCACTCCAGCCTGGGTGACAGAGCAAGACTCTGTCTCAAAAACTAACTAAATAAAAAATTGGAAAAAAAAAAGTTAGCCAGGTGTAGTGACATGTGCTTACATTCCCAGCTACTGGGAAGGCTGAGGTGGGAGGATCATCTGAGCCTGGGAGGTTGAGACTGCAGTGGGCCATGATTGTGCCACTGCACATGGCCTGGGTGACAGAATGAGACCCTGTCTCAAAACAAAAAACAAACAAACAAAAAAACCATGAAGAAAGTATACCAATATGTTATCAGTGATTCTCTTTAGGAGGTAGGATTTTGAGTGGTTTTAATTCTTTTTGGTGTGTCTTTCTCTATTATCCACATATTCTACAGTGAACATGATTATATTTATATTTTTAAAAGGCAAAATAAGCAACATTTAAATATGCTGATAGGATGGTATGCCTCTGGAAGAGTGCATCAGAAACCTTCAATGGTGGTTGTCCCCAGTTAGGGCAACTAGGGGCTCAGGGACTGGGGTGAAAGACTACCTTTTTTTAGTTTTGAATATCAGACCACCTGTATGTGTTACAAATTAAAACATAAACAAATAGAAAGGAAGAACATCTTGATAGGAAGGCGAGGGCTTGCCTGGCATGATCTCTGTGGCTCTGGTGTCCACTACACTGCGGTGATGCAGGTGAGATGGCCATGCAGAGGGACCTTGCACTGGGGTGGATGGGCACAGTGCCCTGGCAGGATACTCCTCTCCTGTCTCCTCAGATCCAGATCAAGGAAGAGACCCGCTTAGTGTATGTCATTGACCAGATTGACAAGGCTGTGGCCATCATCCCCCGAGGCGCCCTCTTCAAGACCCCTTTTGGACCCACCCATGTCAATCGGACCTTTGAAGGTGAGTTCTCTGGGGCCCCTCTCAAGGCCTGGAGGGTATCTTTTCCCAGACAGTAGAACTTATGTCTAGGAGTCCAGCAGGGGGACATTCACACTTCATCAAAGAAGGAGTAGCTGTGACCTTATCACCTGGGAAGGTGTGCCCAGTGACCTGGCCCCGGTGGTCGGTATGGGCTCCCCAGTCACTGGTGCCTGACTCTCTTCAGCTGAGGAGTGGAAGAGCGTATAGTCTCCTGGTCCCAGGGCTTTACATGGGTCTGGGCTACCTGCTGTTTCCTATCTCCTTCCTCCTATCTTCTCCTTGGACCCTCCCCTCCCCTCTCCTCCTTTTCTCTCCTTCCCTTCTCTTTCCCCTCCCCTTTCTCCTGTCTCTTTCCCTCCCTTCCCTCCCTCCCTCCCTCCCTCCCTCTCTCCCTTCCTTCCTTGAGGGAGTCTCACTCTGTCCCCAGGCTGGAATGCAGTGAGGCAATCTTGGCTAACTGCAACCTCCGCCTCCTGGGTTCAAGAGATTCTCCTACCTCAGCCTTAGAAGTAGCTGGGACTACAGGTGTGTGCCACCACACCCAGCTAATTTTTTGTATTTTTAGCAGAGATGGGGTTTCACCATGTTGGCCAGGATGTTCTTGATCTCCTGACCTCATGATCTGCCTGCCTCGGCCTCCCAAACGGCTGGGATTATAGGTGTCAGCCACCGCACCTGGCCCACTTCTTTCTTTCTTGAGTTTTGCTCTTATCATCCAGGCCAGAGTGCGATGGCACGATCTTGGCTCACTGCAACCTCTGCCTCCTGAGTTCAAATGATTCTCCTGCCTCAGCCTCCTGAGTAGCTGGAATTATAGGCACCCACCACCACACCCAGCTAATTTTTGTATTTTCAGTAGAGACAGGGTTTCGCCATGTTGGCTAGGCTGCTTTCACACTCCTGACCTTAGGTGATCTACCTGCCTGGGCTTCCCAAAGTGCTGGGATTATAGGTGTGAGCCACTGCGTCTGGGGGGACTCTATGGCAGGATCTGGTCTAAGTTTGGACTGAGGGAATGCTTATCCCTTTTATTCCTTCAGCTGTCTGTCAGTGGTTGACAAGGTCTTTTGCAAGTCCCACCATGTGGTCCCAATGCAGAGAGAAAGGGGGCTGGGGGGTTTTAGGCTAATGATCCTTTTCCTGCCTGCCACCTCTTTCTAGGACTGTCCTTGTCTGAGGCCAAGAAGCTCAGCTCCTACTTCCACTTCAGGGAGCCTGTTGAGCTAAAGAACAAGACCTTGCTTGAGAAGGCTGACCTGGACCCCTCCTTGGATTTCATGGACTCCTTGGAGCACGATGTCCCCAAAGGTTAATAGTCTGTTACCTTGAGGCCATGGGATCTGTCCTCAGGTCATAGCAGTGGGCCATGCCACCTGCCATTCTCCTCGGAGACTGGAACCAAGGGCCTAGTGGGAGTTGGTGGTTCACCATGGGTTTTTGAGGGTGGGGCTTTCCCAGGGCCTAGAGCTTATAGTGTACACTTGATGGATGTTCTTGAATTACAGAAGGTAGGATTGATTTCCATATGCTTTCACAGAGTGGAGGTATCTCTGTCTCTTGATTTTCATAGCAATCTTGAATGGAGGCAGGTTGGAAATACTCTCCCAAACATCCCTGAAAATACTAACCATACTTACATCTGAACTATTACTTTTGGGATTCTGGGATTTGGGGATTGGATATAATGCTTGGCACATGTAAGTGGGGGTTGATTGACTGAATAGCAAACCACCTACTAAGGCAAGTTCTGTGCATCTGCTTTCTACTATACACATAGGAGAAAGTATTTAAAATCTTAAAACATACAGCTTCAGAGGCCTTCCTTTGTTGTAGGGCCTACCTGGCCCAGGCACAAACCCAGCAGTTGTTAGCAGGGCCACTGAGACCCCATTTCCTTCCCTTGAGCATCTCCCGTAGAGTCTTCGGATGCTATGACCCAATTCAGGTGCCAGGCTCTAGGCCACTGGGGGCCAGGCCCAAGGCACACACTCAGTGCCCTACTTCTTTCTCTTCCTTTGTTTGGTGTTCCTGAGAATGAGAGGGATCTAATGATGACGATGGCAATGATAATGACAACAGTAACAACTAATTCATGGAACATGACACTGCTGCCAGGTTCAGTGGCTCACGCCTGTAATCCTAGAACTTTGGGAGGCAAGTGGATTTCCTGAGCTCAGGAGTTCAAGACCAACCTGGGCCACATGGTGAAACCCCACCTCTACTAAAATACAAAAAATTAGCCCAGCATAGCAGCATACACCTGTAGTCCCAGCTACTCGGGAGGCTGAGGCAGGAGAATTGCTAGAACCCGAGAGGCGGATGTTGCAGTAAGTCGGGATTGCGCCACTGCATTCCAGCCTGGGCAACAGTGTAAGACTCTGTCTCTTAAAAAGAAACAAAAAAGAAACATGACACTGCTTATTGTGTGCCAGGCACTGTACTCAGCTCTTGCCATGCCTTATTTCATTTTAATCTTCACAGCCAGCCTATTTTATCCCCATTTTACAGATGAAGAAACAGAGGCTCAGAGACTTAAACCCAAGGACGCAGTAAGTGTTCAAGTGTTAGACTCCATGGCTCTGGCAGAAACTGTATTGTTAAGTAAACAACACAGTTTAAACGATAATAGGAACCACAGGACGATAGTCACCCACATCTGTAGGGGGAAACACTTTTGAAGAGCAGCCAATGACCCAGCTAGACAGGATCTCAGGATGGGGGTGGGGATGGCAAGGGCTGTGGATTCAGGCTGTTGGCCACTTACTAGCTGTGTGACTTCATGTAAATCCCTCTATTTCCCTGTGCCTCAGTTTTCTCATTTCTAAAAGGGGAGAATTGATATTTTCTACCTCACTGCGTTGTTATGAGAATTAAATGGACTACTATACCACCCTGAATGTGCCTAATCTGATCTGATCTTGGAAGCTAAGCATTTAATTCTCGCATCCAGGCCTGGTGAGTACCTGGATGTGGGAATTAAATGAGTTAACTCATGTACAAAATGCTTATAACAGTGCCTAACACATCATAAGGACTCAAATGAAAATCAACACACTAGCTGGGTGTGGTGGCTCATACCTGTAATCCCAGAACTTTGGGAGGCCGAGGTGGGTGGATCACTGGAGGTCTGGAGTTCAAGATCAGCCTGGCCAACATGGCAAAACCCCATCTCTACTAAAAATAGAAAAATTAGCCAGGTATGGTGGCATGCGTCTGTAATCCCAGCTACTCGGGAGGCTGAGGTAGGAAGAATTGCTTGAGCTTGGGAGGCGGAGGTTTCAGTGAGCCAGGACTGCACCACTTCACTCCAGCCTGGGTGACAGAGTGAGACATCGCCTCAAAAAAAAAGAAAAAGAAAAAGAAAAAAAAACAAACACACCTTGGAGATAATGAAAGTTGGTGGTTCTTGACCACCACAATAAAGGAAACCCACATAAAGCGAGTCACACATTTTTTGAAAAGTTGTGTTTATACTATACTATAGCTTAAGTTTGCAATAGCATAGCATTATGTCTAAAAACATTAAAAACAATTAAAAATTCTTTATTTCATAACAGTACTAATCATCTATTCTTTTTGCTGGTGGAAGGTCTTGCCTTGATGTTGATGATTGCTGACTGGTCAGGGTGGTGAGTGCTGAAGGCTGGGGTGACTATGGCAGTTTCCCAAAACAAGACAACAATGGGCTGGGCGCGGTGGCTCACGCCTGTAATCCCAGCACTTTGGGAGGCCGAGGCGGGTGGATCACGTGCTTAGGAGTTTAAGACCAGCCTGGCCAAGATGGTGAAACCCTGTCTCTACTAAAAATACAAAAATTAGCCAGGCGTGATGGCAGGTGCCTGTAATCCCAGCTACTCAGGAGGCTGAGGCAGGAGAACTGCTTGAACCCAGGTGGCAGAGGTTGCAGTGAGCTGTTATCATGCCACACTGCACTCCAGCCTGGGCAACAGGGTGAGACTCTGTCTCAAAAAAAAAAAAAAAAAAAAAAAAAAAAAAAAACAACAACGAAGTTTGCCACATCAGTGGACTCTTCCTTTCACAAAATATTTATCTAGCATGCAATGCTGTTTGATAGCATTTTACCCACAGTAGAATTTCTTTTTGAGATGGAGTCTCACTCTGTCACCCAGGCCGGAGTGCAGTGGCACAGTCTTGGCTTACTGCAACCTCCACTTCCCAGGTTCAAGCAGTTCTCTGCCTCCACCTTCCAGGTAGCTGGGATTACAGGTGCCTGCCACCACACCCAGCTATTTATTGTATTTTTAGTAGAGATGGGGTTTCACCATCTTGGCCAGGCTGGTCTTTAACTCCTGACCTTGTGAACCATCTACCTTGGCCTCCCAAAGTGCTGGGATTACAGGCGTGAGCTACCGTGCCCGGTCAAAAGCCTACAGCACCCAGTATTCCCAGGGTTTTTTTTTTTGTAACAGTTTTGCTCTGTTGTCAGCCTCCTGAGTAGCTTCGACTACAGGGACACGCCACCACACCCAGCTGATTTTTGTATCTTTAGTAGAGATGAGGTTTCACCATGTTGGCCAGGATGATCTCCATCTCGACCTCATGATCTGCCTGCCTGGGCCTCCCAAAGTGCTGGGATTACAGGTGTAAGCCATTGCGCTGGCTTAGGTAATATTCTTAATCCTTTGTTGTCATTTCAACAGTGTTCACAGCATCTTCACTAGGAGTGGGTTTCATCTTAAGAAACCACTTTCTTTTTTGTTTTTTGAGACGGAGTTTCGCTCTTGTTACCCAGGCTGGAGTGCAATGGCACAATCTCGGCTCACTGCAACCTCCGCCTCCTGGGTTCAGGCAATTCTCCTGCCTCAGCCTCCTGAGTAGCTGGGATTACAGGCACACGCCACCATGCCCGGCTAGCTTTTTATATTTTTTTAGTAGAGATGGGGTTTCACCATGTTGACCAGGTGGTCTCGATCTCTTGACCTCGTGATCCACCTGCCTCAGCCTCCCAAAGTGCTGGGATTACAGGCTTGAGCCACCGCGCCCAGCCAAGAAACCACTTTCTTTGCTCATCTGTAAGAAGCAACCCTTCATCCATTTAAGTTTTATCATGAAATTGCAGCAATTCAGTCACATCTTCATGCTCCACTTCTAAATTCTAATTCTTTTGCTATTTCTACCACATCTGCAGTTACTTCCTCCACTGAAGTCTTTTTTTTTTGAGATGTAGTCTTGCTCTTGTCACCCAGCCTGGAATGCAATGGCGGGATCTCGGCTCACTGCAACCTCCACCTTCTGGGTTCAAGTGATTCTCCGGAGTAGCTGGAATTACAGGTGCCTGCAGCCATGCCTGGCTAATCTTAAAAAAATATATATTTTTAGTAGAGACAGCGTTTCTCCAAATTGGCCAGGCTGCTCTTGAACTCCTGACCTCAGGTGATCCACCCACCTCGGCCTCCCAAAGTGCTGGGATTACAAGCATGAGCTACTGCACCCAGCCTGGCTTTTTTTTTTTTTTTTTTTGGAGACAGAGTCTTTCTCTGTTGCCCAGGCTGGAGTGCAGTGGTGCGATCTCAGCTCACTTGCAACCTCTGGCTCCTGGGTTCAAGTGAACCTCCTGCCTCAGCCTCCTGAGTAGCTGGATGATAGGCATGTGTCACGATGCCTGGCTATTTTTTGTATTTTTAGTAGAGACGAGGTTTCACCATGTTGGCCAGCCTGGTCTTGAACTGATCTCAAGGGATCTTCCTGCCTCAGCCTCCCAAGTAACTGGGACTACAGGTATGGACCACCATGCCTGACTAGTTTTTGTATTTTTTGTAGAGGTGAGGTTTCACTGTGTTGCCCAGGCTGGTCTTGAACAACTGAGCTCAAGGGATCCACCCACTTCAGCCTCCCAAAGTGCTGGGATTACAGGCGTGAGCCACTGCACCCAGCCTAGGCCCACCTTTTTCTCTTGATGGTTTGATGAGAGCCATGGCGATGGAGTGGAAGTGTGGATGGTCAGAGGGCAGACAGCTCTGATTTTCCTCCCCAGTTCCTTATCAGTTAGGAAAATAGCATACTGAGCTGCTGGAAGGCTCCCCTGCCAGGCAGACAGCAGCTGCGCCGGGCTGCTAATTGGGGCCAAAACCCCAAGGAAGAGCTCCCTGGGACACCAGGACTGGTTGGAGGGATGGGATTTGGCAGCTGTTTTCTGGTCAGTGAGGATAATTGTTTCCTTTCAGGGTCTGAGGCAATTGTTCAGGGTGACTTCTGAGCAGGTATGGTTTAGTTGGCTCTGTTCCTGGGGACTCCTGCTCTCTGTGTCCATGAGGTAGGCCAGCGGCTCAGCATCTTGGCCCTTGGCTGAAGTGATAAGACATGCCTCGGCTGAAAAGAGGAGGCGGGAGGGCTATTGTCCTCATGAGCTGTCATGCCATATCCAGGGATCTGCAATGTTCTATGGGAGTGCGTAGCTGGTTCTGGGGTAGCAGGACCATCCTCCTGTTGGATCCAGGGCAATGACTAAGAGTTCTCCAAACTTGGGCTGCAGCCAGGTGGCATATAGATGCAGCTGTGCGTCAGGAGTACACACACACACACACACAATTTTTTTTTTTTTTTTTGACGAAGTTTTGCTCTTGTTACTGAGGCTGGAGTGCAATGGCGCGATCTCGGCTCACCGCAACCTCCGCCTCCTGGGTTCAGGCAATTCTCCTGCCTCAGCCTCCTGAGTAGCTGGGACTACAGGCATGCACTACCATGCCCAGCTAATTTTTTGTATCTTTCGTAGAGACGGGTTTCACCATTTTGACCAGGATAGTCTCGATCTCTTGACCTCGTGATCCACCCGCCTCAGCCTCCCAAAGTGCTGGGATTACAGGCTTGAGCCACCGCACCTGGCCCACACACACATAATTTTAAGTCTTGCTGCAACCTTGGCTCACTGCAACCTCCACCTCCTGGGTTCAAGCGATTCTCCTGCCTCAGCCTCCCAAGTAGCTGGGATTACAGGCATAGGCCTCCACGCCGGACTAATTTTTGTATTTTTTTTTTTTGAGATGGAGTTTCGCTCTTGTTACCCAGGCTGGAGTGCAATGGCACAATCTCGGCTCACCGCAACCTCCACCTCCTGGGTTCAGGTAATTCTCTTGCCTCAGCCTCCTGAGTAGCTGTGATTACAGGCATGTGGCACTATGCCCAGCTAATTTTTTTGTGTTTTTAGTAGAGACGGGGTTTCACCATGTTGACCTGGATGGTCTTGATCTCTTGACCTCATGATCCACCTGCCTCGGCCTCCCAAAGTGCTGGGATTACAGGCTTGAGCCACTGCGCCTGGCTAATTTTTGTATTTTTAGGAGAGATGGGGTTTTACCATGTTGGCCAGGCTGTTCTTGAACTCATGACCTCAGGTGATCCTCCCACCTCTGCCTCCCAAAGTGCTGGGATTACAGGCGTGAGCCACCGTGCCCAGTCAGGGGGCTAGATTTCTAGGTAGTATCCTGCCATTTGAAGCTCCCTAACCATCCACTCTATCAGCAAATAGCCACTGAGCAAGCTACGACAGTCACCTGTGATGGCCCTTGGACTAAGACACCTCCCTTGCCTCTGAGGTTTGGGAAGATCAAATGAAAGAGGATGTGAAAGGGAAATGTAAACTAGAAGGTGCCTTGCAAGCAGGGTCATCGGTGTCCTGGGAGGTAGTTCGGAGGGCTGGAGGGCACAGCTCCTCTCCTTGCTCCACTCTGGGTTGGAGTGGATGTCTCAGAATTGCCAGGTGCAGTCAGACTGGGGCTCCTTCCCAAGCAATTTCTCAGCAGCAATGCTTAGTTCAGGCAGCAGAGGGCAGCAAGGGGCCTGCCTGCCTAGAAAGCAGCCTTTGAAAGCTGCTGCTGCTGGTGGCTGAGGACTAGGAAGGGGGCAAGTGAGGCATGCATGGTGGTGGTGGGGGGAACATGATGCCCAGGGTCAGCCTTCCCTTAGGGATGTGTGCAGGTGGCTCTTGCTATCCCAGTTTCTTGGAAGCCTGGCTGACCAAGTGTTCAGCCTTCTGGGCCATGGGGCCTGACTCTGCTGCTCAGACATTTGATAGGGCACTGGCGGCCAGGGGTGCCTCACTCCTCTTCCTCTGTCCTTGGGCCTCTAAGGATTACATGATTCTATCTTGTGGCCCTTGTAGGGGGTGGGGGTGCCTCTCCCACCGGAAACCCATGGCCATTTTTTTTGTGTGACAAAAATTTTGTTGGTACTCATCTGAGAGGGTTTAAGCCATCTGTTGCCCCTGGACAGCCCTGGTCCCCAGCCTGGCCCACTCTCCCTCAATCTTAATCCCAGAGCAGCCTTTCTTCCAGGATGGCAGGAGAAGGTAATTAGAGTAAGTACACCTTAGCCTGAGGTTTCCCTATTAGCAAGGTGGGTGAGACCCTGGGGGCCCAGGAAACCCTGCAGGGCCCCCTCCTGACTTAACTTGTACCCATCACATTCTCAAAACAGCTTCTGGAGGAGAGTGGCTGCTAGAGGACAGGAGGGATTTGGGAAGGCGAGAGCAGGGGCTGTGAACCTGCAGCACCAGGGCCGCAGGGTTTTTTTTCCCCCGAGTCCTGGAGGCGGTGACAGCAGCTGGCTGGGTTCAGCCTGTTCAGCAGTTGCAGTAAGAAAGTGGGTGAAGTTGACAGCAAGTGCCTGGCTCTTCAGGTAGATGCTACGTGACTCCTGGCACGTTAAGAGCCTGTGTGTTTCCTGGGCGACCAGCTGAGCCTGGGACGATGAGAGGACAGGAGTGTGACAGGAATGTGAGGGAGGCAGTGCTGTTTTCCGGCTGGCCCCTCACATGCCACTACCACGCTCCACCAGCACCCTACCGCCTGCACGATGTTGCCCCCTGCCTGGTGGGGGCACTGTCTTTCTTTAGCTCCCCTGCCAGTTTCTCCTTGCTCTCTGGGTAGGAGCCCCTCCTGACAGGCCTGGGCCACTTTACCCAAGAACACTGCTCCTCCCACTCTGTGCCCCCCACCCCTATTATCTACCGAGGTAAGCGGTGGCCAAAGCCTAGGTTGGCAAGCTGGTGTAAGGGCAGGACCCAGCTCTTGCCCAGGCATGCCAAGGTGCTGGCAACAATGAACTGAGAAGGGTCTAGGTTGGAGGACTCCAGGATTCCATTTTTTCCAGGGCAGCATCTGGCCCAGGCAGGCTGCAAGCTGCCCTCCCTGGGAAGGCAAAGACAGATAAGGTCTGGTCTCATCTGCCTTGAACTAAGGCAGTCTGGTCTTAGTTCAAGGGGCCAAGGGACAGTTTGTGGGCTGGGAGAGCTGACAGGTCTGCACCGTGAATCTGACTTCATTATCCTTTGCATGGGTGATGGCACTTGGTGCTAAAGTGAGCTTTGTGACTGGCTTCTCCCTGAGCAGGACCAGGGACGGTCAAACTATATACTCCCAGAAAACTCTGGTTTTGACCTGGGCAGGCGGCTGTATTTTGAGCAGGGCTGAGCTGCCATGAGGATGAGGGGTTCTTGGCAATCAGGTTTCTTGGATGAAGGGTGGTCCCCAGTGGGTGGGGACTGAGTTGTGAGGCTGGTGGGTGTGGCGTGACCAGGGTGGACCATGGTTGGAGGTGGCCCGTGGGAAGCTGGAGCAGCAGGAGCCAAGCCGCCGCGCTGAGCTGGCAGCTGATGAAGGCTTCAGAGCAGCTCTCAGCGCATGGCTGGCTGGTCCAACACCAAAACTTTCAAAGCATTTGCCTTTCTGGCAGGGCCCAGAACAGGGCTGCGGCTGGGCTGGGAGAGGCCTCAGTGCGCAGGGGAATAGAAGCCCCAGATCTTCATCCAGAGGCGATTTTCCCAGGCTCCTTCCTCCCACACTGTGGCTCCCTCCCTCAGTTCTGGAGCTGAATCAGGCCCTTCCAGCCAAGTCTTCATGGCTGCACGACTTAGCCCTTAGCAGGGCTGCTCCTGTGTGGGGAGGCAAAAACCAGGGCAGAACCCAGGACAAAGGCTCATTAGGGGCAGCCCAAGTCCCCTCCCACCAAGGATGGCTCCCAGTTTACCAGCTGCCAGAAAGGGCCATTGAGCTAGGAGGCCTAAACTAGCCAAACTTCTATTTGAGACTTCCTTTCCTGGTCTGGTCTAATCCAACTCAGGAGAGGCTTCTGGGAGTGGGGAAAGAGAGTGAAATGGCAAGTAGGGGCAAACCACACTAGAACTGGTGACTGCACTGGGTATAGGGTGGGAGGAGCTGGTGTCTCCCTTGGCCCAGCCCAACTCCCCTCTGCCTGTGGATTCAGCCTCCTCCCCGACTCAACCTTTAGCTAGACTTGCTGACTGAAACGAAACAGACTGGTTCGAGTTTCACCTCTTCATTTCCTTTGCCCTCTCTCTGAAAGTGGTTTTAAGAGCAGTGAGATGGCTAAAACGGCCAGGTGTGACGGCTCACACCTGTAATCCCAGCATTTTGGGCAGCCAAAGTGGGAGGATGGCTTGAGCCCAGCAGTTTGAGACCAGCCTGGGCAATACAGTAAGGCTCCATCTGTACAAATTCAAAAAAGCTAGCAGGGTGTGGTGGTGCATGCCCATGGTCCCAGCTACTCTGGAGGCTAAGGTGGGAGGCTCACTTGAGCCCAGGAGTCAAGGCTGCGGTGAGTTGTAATTGCGCCATTGCACTCCAGCCTGGGCGACACGCTCTTAAATTGAAAATAATAATGGCTAAAAGGCAATTGGAGTAAAGCACCTTGGAGAATTAAAGGGTCTTTCCCCGTCTCCTCCCAGGGTCCTGGAGTATCCAGATGGAGAGGGGCAACGCCCTGGTGGTACTGCGCAGCCTGCTCTGGCCAGGCCTCACCTTCTATCATGCTCCCCGCACCAGGAACTATGGCTACATCTATGTGGGCACTGGTGAGAAGAACATGGACTTGCCCTTCATGCTATAGAAGGGGCCAGCCTGGATTTTTAAAGAGTCTAAACATGATTTTCTTAAGCTTCAGTGAACTTGGCCTGGTTGTTCTGTCCTACCTTCTTATCTCCATCATCGTCTGGTTCCAGGTTCTGACGGGCCCACTGAGCCAGGGAACTCATCTCTAAACCAAACGGCAGAGGGTTGCAATGTGCTGATGAAAGATACTAGACAATGATGGGTGTAAATGGCTGTGGGAGAAGGTGACAATCAGGGCCCCTTTGAAGAAGGCAGTTTCTTGGATTCACACGAGAGCGGCAAGTGTGCCAGGAATCCCTCCTTGGCTCCTTGCGGCTCTCCCAGACTAAGGAGCTCACAGCTGTCATAAAGAGGATAGAATCTGTTTGGCCCATGAATTCCCTCTAATTGACTCATTGGCCCCACCACAAGAGATCAGTGACTCAGTGCTCAGCACCCAGCCTGAAATATGCCCAGGTGCCCCTGCACTTCCCAAACAATGAGCACACATCCAGTGGGTAAGCCCATGAGCCTACTTTATGACATTTCATTGGGCAAAACTCCTGTCCTCAGCACTGAGCATGGCCCAAGCCCCACAGCAGCTGCCAAGGGATCCAACTGCCCTGCTTGCCTCTAGCTCTCAGCATTGCTACTGGGCAAGCCAAGCATACTGAAGTTTGTCCCACTGTCCCCTGTCCATCCATGTTGGAGGGGCCAGGACATCGTGGTGGGGTGGGACAGGAGTATAGTTGGGGCCGAGGGCTTGTGAGTGGGCCTCCTACTCCACAGCACAGGTGCAAGAGGAACTTTGGAAGCCCTACTGTCTGTCAGTGATACAGCTTCCAAGGTGTTCTTGAGTAGCAGACATTGTCCCTCAGGAGGGGTGACCCCACGGGCATGAGCACCCTGTTCCAGCGGGGGCCTTTTTTGTAGATGGGCTTGACGGACTTGGGAGCCCAGCGCGTCAGGTACCTGTGGAGGGAGAACAAAGACATGCCTGTGAGGGCTGGGACCTAGCTGGAACTGGGAGAGTGGAGCTCTGCGTCCTCAGGCCAGGCCATGGTTGGGCAAGCAAATCCTTTCACCAGTTTCCCTTTCCTGAAGTGCAGGGATTTTCCTGGGAGTAACTGCTGGGTGTCCTGTAAACAGATGGGCTGGGCTCTTGCTGCTGAAAGCCTGTGTGGCCAGGGTCAGGCAGTCCAGAGCCATGCGCTCCCTTGATCCTCCTAATTGTCAATGTTTGTGTGTGTTTGCTGAGCAAAAGGAGGAGGAAGAAACTGCCTGAGCAGATCATTCCTCTCTGGCCTCAGCCATAGGGTGAGAAGAGCTGATGTAAGGGCCTGGAGGAACCCATTACTCTTCCCCATTTGGCTCACTCAGCCACCCCAGCCTTCAGGGAACTCCCCAGGGTACTGTAACTGGTATAGGTAACCCTGCCTCTCACCCAACCTGTAATGGGAACCAAGTGGTAAGGGCCTGTGGGCACAGCCCTAGCCCAGGAAGGTTCCTGTAAGTAGGAGGGGGGTGGGGAAAGATGCCTGCTACCCATGGACCTTTGGCCTCCTCTCGGGATGGCCAGGGCCCTGATAGTTCCCAGAAAAGAGGCTCATGCTGGCTGGGATTTGGTTTTAGTCTGTCCAGAATAAAACTTGGATCCTGTCCAGAAAGGCCCATCCTTCATTCTGAAAGCTCAGCTATGACAAAGGCCAGGAATCCTCCCCTGCCTCCATTCTAGGTTGGGGCTCAACCCAGCTATCTCTAGAGACTGTCAAAGAAAACACTTATTTATTAAAAAAAAAAAAAGAAAATCAATAACCTTGGCTAAAAACTCTTTAAAAAGTTAAAAAATGATTGCTGATCTATGCAGTTCAACTGAACTCTGCTGGACCTTGGTCTGCTGCTGCCAGCCTTGCGTGAGGGGAAGATTCAGGAGGTGCTGGCCTGCACTCCAAGCGTACGCTGGGCAGGGAGGAGGGGTGCCTATTCTGTTTCCTTGAGCTGTCACTGCCCTGGCCAGGGTGATGACTATGAAGGAGGCTAGCTACAGGGACTGCTTTTTCCATGGTCTGTGGTGCTGGGTGACAGAAGATTAAGAGAAAGGGAGGGGACCAGGGATGGCCCCTTTGCTGGCCTCTCCCAGGCTTCAGAGGGGTGCATGAGAGATGGGGTAGGAGAGTAGGCTCCCCAGAAGGGGTGCTCATTGAAATGTGGGGACTGCAGAGGATAAGCTGACCAGGTTCTCCTGAGCTACTGCCCTAGAGCTGTTCTTTCTCCCATGCCTTGGAGAGGGAAGCTGGGCTTTAGCTGGCCTTGGGCCTGATGCCTGTGCCACGTGGAGCAGCCAACTGGCAGGGGGTGGGATGGGTGGCCTCCAGCCAGCTCTCTGGGAACACCCCAGCTCTGGCAAGAACCAGCCCCTTCCTACCTCTCTTGAAGGGGCAGCAAGAGGAGGGACACAGCGGCAGACAAAGCATGGATCCACCAGGTCCCAGCAGAGCCTGCACCTATGCATGGCAGCATGGAACGAGACTCCTCTGCAAGGGAATCAATGTCCTTCATAGTCTCAACTCCCCCTCCCGCTCAGGGTGGCCTTTTGCAACCAACAAGCCCCCACACATCATCAATCCTGTGTCACGTTAAAGGAAGCCGGATGTATGGGAGGGCGCCTGGCCTAGCTTCAAAGGCCTGAGGCAGCATGGATTGTGTCCTCAGGCCTGCTGCTGTCTCTTAAAAAGCCAGAGGGGGGTGGGCTCAACTCCCAAATGGTCCATAGCACAATTGGGAGACACAGGAAGAGGTTAGCATGTCCTGCTCCCCAAGAGCTGCTGGCAGATGGCTTAGCTAGCAATGTGGGGGGTGCAGGTAGAGGTGGGCATGTAGCCAGGGTGCTGGCATGGTGTTGGTAAAGGTCCAGCTCTGACTTAGCCTCCAGGGACAGAGAGATAAGATACCAGGAAGAAGCCCTGCATTCCCACATCCTGCACCCCCCTACCCTCCATGCCTGAATTCTGCTGGGGATCTGCCCAGGAGGTTTGCTGGGGGCTGAGGTGTCTTTCTTTGCATCAGTCATCTTTGATACCTTACAGAGAGCAATTAAATTTAAAAAAGGGCAAAAACTGCAATTACTTTTGCATCAACTTAATATGTTCCTCAGTCCAGTCTGGGAACCACTAGCTGGACAGAAGGAAAGGGCCATTGGTAGGGGAGAAGAACCCCCTCAAATCTATTTTACAGACCTGGCTCTACTCTCTAAAGAGGAGACTACAGAGCTAAGAGTATGTGAGTGTGTTGCTGTCAGAGAGGAAGGATGAAGGGAGCCTGCAATAGGACAGCTGCTTGAACGTTAGACAAGAATCTGCTCTCGCTCTACAGGGTCCTGCTTAGACTAGAAGGCAGGCTGAATGATTCCAGGGGCTGGGGGCCGTCCTCTCCTTCTCTATATAAACTTAGGGCCTCCTGGACTGCCACATGGCGCGGTGTAGATTAACTGTACAACCCTGGGGAGCACTGTTTGTGACCTAGTTTACATGGATGTTGTCCTGAAGTTGTCCAATGTGCATCCTGCACAGCTGTATTCAGTGACGCTAACCCAGGAAGCCCTCCCATTTCTAAGGCCTTCTGCCCTCTAATAACCCCAGCGCTGGAGAGAGCTAGGATACTGAAAGCTTGCAGTGGTACTGACATCCCTATAGCAACCCAGTGTGATGTCATAAACGAGGGATTAGCAAGCCTCTACCCTCCTGGCCCCTTTGCTAAGGGCCCTACAGGGAAGGAAAGAGGCTGAGGCAAGCAAAGAAGGCAACAGAAGAAGCAAAGACTGCAGCAGGGGTGGACTGATGGGGGTGGGTGCCAAGCTGGCAGAGTATGGAACGGACAGGCAAGGTGCACTCTAGCTTTCCTGAGCTGTGGGATGATTTCCGGCAAACAGCTTCCCCAGTGAAGACTGCGGGCCTGCAGAACGCTCAGGCTGTTCACCCCAGGTTGGCTTACCGGTTGAGCTGGGGTTTGTTCTTCGGAACAACTCCTTCAGGAAGCCGAGGCCTGTGATTTGGTAACAGACCTGAGTGGAGGGAAGAGGGGACAGTCTTTGCAGTTCCCTCTGCAGCTCTAAGGGGGCCAGAGAGAAAGCCCAAGGGAGCGGGGAGGTTGGCATTGGGCAGTGAGTGTAATTAACACTCTGGATATCCAATTTTCTTCCAGGAGGGGCCAAAACATGGGGCAGCTGGGTGGGGAGAGACAGCTCCTGCAGCCCTCTACCCCTCTTGGTCCTGAGGGCCTTCTACCTGCTCGGTGGGCCATCTTCACACACTCCTCGATCTTTCGGTGTTCTTCCCTGCACAGGCCTGTGATCTTTCGGGGTAGCATGCCTCCATGAGGCCGGATGAACTGGCTAAGCAGCAGAACATCCTAGTGGAAACAGAAAACAGGGATGAGGGTCAGCTGGGCTTGCTTTTGATGCTGGGAAGCTAGGGCTTTATGGTCTAAAGGGGAGGTGGATGTCTCCTGGGAACCTGCATGAGATCATTTCCTCCACACACAGCACTGCACACTGGTCTGCTACCTTTATTTACCCAACAAAGGTTAATCCCAACGTAGTAAGATTTTCTGTACCCCATTACCAACCCCAAGAGCTCCCAGCTTCTTTCTCCATGAGATTTTTCCTTTTTTTGAGACAAAGGCTCACTCTGTTGCCCAGACTTGAGTGCAGTGGCGCAATCTTGGCTCAATGCAATCTTTGCCTCCCAGGCTCAAGTGATCCTCCCACTTTAGCCTCCTGAGTAGCTGGGACTACAGATGTGCGCCACTATGCCTGGCTAATTTTTGTTAGGGGTCTCACTTTGTTGCCTAGGCTAGTCTTGAACTCCTGGGCTCAAGCAATCTGCCTGCCTTGGCCTCCCAGAGTTCTGGGATTGAAGGTGTGTACCCCCACACCTACCCTCATGAGATCATTTTCTGACAGACTAGAGAGCAGAAACTCTTTCAGAAGCGTCACCAATCTTTTATGTACCTGAAGCATCTTTCTTGGACAAGATGTCTGCTGAGTTATTGTCCTAGGGTGGGGTTAGGAGGCATGCCATATGTTTCCACACAAACCTGTAACATTTTAGATCCCAAAACCTACATACCACAGGCCAGAGTATATGCAAACAGCCCCTCCACCTCCTGCCATTTGCTCTGAAGGGCTAGGAAGACATACAAGCGGGGGAGGAAGGAACCAGGGTTTCAAAGTTTAACCTCACATGATCTAGGCCCCTTGTGAACAGATCTGATTGGATTCTTGGGCTTCCTTTGGACCATCATGTGCTCACCATGCTGCTTGGGACAGGTCAAAGAAACAGATAAACAGAGCCATAATCAAGACAAGGAACCACCTTCCTGCCAGGTCTAAAATGTTACAATTCCCAGGCTGCTCGAGCCTAGGAGTTTGAGACCAGCCTGAGCAACATAGCGAGACCCCATTCTCATAGAAAGGCTGAAGGGGTTAAAGGAAACTCACCATTCCCCTCCCTGCAAGGGCCTGGTATGGTAGTCTTAGCAGTTAAGTTCCACAAACCAACCTGCTGCCCTGGCAAGCACCTCGCTGCATAACCACAGATTTGTTTTAATCACTGGACAGTTCCTGAGGGACCCAGGCCTTCAGTTCCCACCCCTGTACTTTTCAGAATCTGATGAAAAGAACTTGGATTGGATTAATCCAGGGCTAATCAACTGGGCTCAAAGCCCCAGCCCCTCATCGTAGGCTGCCAAGCAAGCCGACAGCTTTGTGCAGCTCAAGCTAATGGTGCTCTGAGTGGAAAGGGGTAAAAGGAAAAACAACTTTAGCCTTTACCTCAGACAGGATTAGATTTCTTCTGCTGGAGAGAGCCAAGTACGTTTCCTGGAAAAGGCTGGGAGGAAGAGTGCCCCATGGTGGCTGGGCAGGTGTGGGGTTTACTTTCCTATCAGCAGCTGAGGCTCCAAGGATGCCCACAACCCTGCTAATTTCTGCACGCGAGCAGCTGGGAACATTGCCCCTTGCCTGTGTGCTTGCTTTCTGTTACTCTAAGCGGCCAGCAGAAGGGCCTCAGGATAGAAAGAACCCCCCCAACCCCTCAGGGTGGCCTCAAGCCAGGGCTTCCAGCCCAGGAGATTAGTTGGGTCACTCTGTTCAGATCCCATGGGCATGTGGCTTCTCCTGCTCTTATCACCTAACAAGGATCTCTGCCCTTAGTCATCCTATTCCACAAAGGGGCACAGGGACAACCTGCAGGTCAAACTGGCCCAATGCCTGAATCACCTGAAACCCAAGAATAGGGTGCTTCATGTCACAAGTGAGAGCTCTGAAGAACAAGTAAGGATTTCTCCAGGGCTGTGTCCCTAGCCCCAGGCCCTCCCCATCTCTGGGGAGAAGGTAGTGTAGTTATTAGGGGCATGGGCTCTGCCTGGGCTTTCATTCCTGGAGTTTGTACCCCAGCTCTGAAACTAGCTGGGGGATCTGAGGCAACTTCACTAACTTCTCCATGCCTCAATCTTCCTCATCTGTAAAATGAGGATGAAACTAGTACCTACTTCATGAGGTTATTGTGAAAACTAAGTGAATTAAAGCAGGAAAGCAGTCAGTGCCGGACAGAGTACACACTCAATGTTAGCTGTTATTATTTTTGACAGTGTCACCAGGCTAGAGTGCAGTGGTGTGATCTTGGTTCACTGCAACCTCTGTCTCCTGGGTTCAAGCGATTCTCCTGCCTCAGGTTCCTGAGTAGCTGGGACTACAGGCACACGCCACCACACCTGGCTAATTTTTCTAATTTTAGTAGAGTCGGAGTTTTACCATGTTGGCCAGGATGGTCTCCATCTCTTGACCTTGTTATCCGCCCGCCTTGGCCTTCCAAAGTGTTGGGATTACAGGCGTGAGCCACTGCGCCCGGCCTAGCTGTTATTATTCACTACTGTCTTCTTTCCCTGGAAACGACTGCACTAGAAGAGCTCAAGCAATCAGGTATCTTTACAGCTCCAACACAGAACAACAGGGTCATGTATGCCCAGATCACAGGGAGAACCAGAGCCTATTCAAATAACCCTCATCATACAAGAGAAAAGCCAAACCCAGATCATGATTTCATCCCACAAGAGTACAACCCCTGCTAGCTGAGTTAAGGCCCCTAGTGGTCTGAGGCACAACCAGACCATAAACTCAATCAGTGGCTCTCAACCCTGGCTGCATGTTAGAGCCAGGGGAGAGCTCTTAAAAAATGCTCAGGCCCTACCCTGTGAGGCTGATTCAGTTGGTTTGGGGTAGGACTCATGCATCATTATTGTTTTTTTTTTTTTTTGATACAAAGTCTTGATCTGTTGCCAGGTGTCAGGCTGGAGTGTAGTAGTGAGATCTCGGCTCACTGCAACCTCCCCCTCCTGGGTTAAAGCAATTCTCCCGTCTCAGCCCCCTGAGTAGCTGGGACTACAGGTGAGCGCCACCATGCCCAGCTAATTTTTGTATTTTCAGTAGAGACAGGGTTTCACCATGTTGACCAGGATGGTCTTGATCTCGACCTTGTGATCGACCCGCCTTGGCCTCCTAAAGTGCTGGGATTACAGGCATGAGCCACCACGCCTGGCCACATCATTACTTTTTAAAGCTCCCCAGGTGATCCTAATGTGCAGCCAGGGTTGAGAGCAACTGGAAAAAGTGCTCCCATCTCTGGTGGTTCCATGAAATGAAGTGTGGGGAAACGCTGCTCCAGTTAACCAGGGAATCTGAGAGCTTCATTCCACACAGAGCTGAGTCTCTGTAACCAGACTCACGTCATAGTTATACTTGTGCTTCAGGTTCCAACGGCAGATGGGGCACTGGCCAGAGGGGTTAGGAGGATTTGGAGTCTCCTTGGGAGTCACTGTGATACGGCCTTCAATCTAGGAGACAGAGAAAGAGAGCCAGTGTGAGACACAGGGCCTGCACAGAGCCATGTTATCTTTGTGCAAACCCCAAAATGATGGGAATGCTGGTAAAAGTTTATCTTGGTGGTTCTTGTGGGAGTAGCTAAGAGGTTTTCTGCCTGAACTATGGTGTTTATTTTGTAGTTGCTGTATGCTAGGCCTTGAGATAGCCACAGGGATATGGTTTGGTGGCTTACAGGGGTAACAGAAACCACCTAAACTTAATACCAGTGGTAAGAGGGAGAGAGGGGTTTGCTGTAACAATTGAATGCTACCTTTCCTTCCTCAAAAGAAAAAACAAAGGCACCAGAACACTATACTTTTTCCACTCCCTGGTTTTTTGGGGAAAATAATACATGCACATGGTAAAAAGTTTCATATAGCACAGGGATACAGAGTCCAAAGAAAGCCTCCCTCCAATCCCACATATCCTCCTAGGGGAAACTGCATTTCCCAGCTTTATCTTACAGAGTTAAGGCTATGCCAGTGGGTCTCAACAAGAGGTGATTTTGCTCCCCAGGGGATATCTGGCAATGTCTGGAGACATTTTTGATTGTCACCACTCGGGGAGGGAGTGCTACTACTGACACCTAGCAGGGATGTTCTCCCCATCCTACACTGCACAGGACAGCCCTCACAACAAAGAATTACCCAGCCCTAAATGCCAGGAATAGCAAGGCTGAAAAACCCCAGGCTGTGCCATATAAGCAGGTATGTGTGCATTCCTTCTTCTCTCTTTACAAAAGAAAGAAAGAAAAAAATAACACGAAACAGATGGGAGGATACATTTCCCTGTCACGCTCCTTGCTTTTATCATTTGGATGCCACCTTTTAAATCCTGCTAAGGCCAAGTGTGAAATGACCTCCCTATCACTGCTGTATCCTGTGGAATAGCCTTGGAATTGCTAAGTGCAATAAACCAACAATCTGGGAATTAGCTCCAACTGCAAAAGAGAAGTTTAGAAAGCCTTGCTGACTGACTCAGTGGATATGAGAGTGAGGCTGGGACAGGTCTGAGAGGCTTTGGGAGGGAAGCAACACCGTCTCTTGGGGGAGAACTGGCACAAGGGAAAGGGGCTGGAAGTACTACTTGGCTGTGCAGGGCACTGCTACCCTCCTTCTACCATGGTAATTACAACTATGCCAGAAACTGAGATTTTAGAGAAAATTTGCAAGTACATGGTAGGCCTTGGGAGGTGGGTTGCGGTGGGTCGGGAAGAGCTAACATTTATTGACTCCCCATTATATGTGTGGCTCAGTGCTAAGAATGATTCACATATATTAGTTCACTTAACCTCCAGAACCTAGTGATGTAGGTGTCCATTCTTATTTCATAGGGGAGAGAATAATACCCAATGTCAGCCATGGCAGTGCTGCTAAAAGCATGGATGGGATTTTCCCTCCCCTGAGGGCTCTCGTAGACCACAATGCCTCCACGTCCATTCTACAAACAGCAGACTCATGCTCCCATGAAAATGCTCTTTATACTCAAAAGTCAGATGTGTTTCTCTCCTCTAGCATGGAGTTTATAGAGTGAATGCTTGTTTTGGCTTTGAATCAAGAAGCCTAAACGGTACCCTAAGGAGATTGAGGGGGGGTCCCCTAAAAAGAACTGTTTTGAGGCTAAGCAGTGGAAAGGCAGAGGAAGCATTCTAGAGAGAGACACAATGGACTTGTCCTAGGAATAAGACTACCTTGGGGAAGACTGAGCTTGGCTGGCTACCTAAAGGGTTAAATCTCTGGTTGACATGGAAGTTACAGAGGTCTCTGGGAGCTCTACGGAGTGGCTGAGGATTTCTTGGAGGCACAGAAGGCCATGTGAAAACAACGTGTCTTTTAAGGATTATAGGATAATCTAGGACCCATGACTCCCCAAGGAAGGGAGGTGGGATGGGCCCAGTGAGGGAAAGGGGGGAGTGGGTAGATGAAGAATTGTTCCAACTTTCTTACCAACAGACAAGCCAGGGCGCCAGGCATGTGAGGCCAGGGCATGGAGAATGTCACTTTTAAAATGCATCATTTAAAGAGTAGTTTAGTCATTCTAGGCAGAAAAGAAAGGAACTGAGGTCCAAGCTCTTGGTCCTGGGTCAACTTACTGTGGCTCTCTAGGCGTGCAACAATGCCTTAGTTTCCCCTTTGGGAAACTGATTCATCACCCACCAAAGAGCTTATCAGCAAAGGCCTCTGAGACCTTGCTATACAAAAGGCCACTTTAATGAAATAGTGATACCTCAGCCCAGGCACAAGAACTGTGTCTGATTAACCACACTATAGCACATAGCTTGAAAAATAGTAGACTGTGGGATTTATGGTCACTGAGGGAGCTGATCTTGGAGCCGGGAGTCCAGTTTGGGCCCCCTCCCTCCCTCAGAGGAGCAGCCAGGCAGCTCCAAGTGTTAAAGAGGTTATACATGGCCAACTCAATGATACTTACTATAGTTGTCTTCCCTTCTTGGATCTCCACCACTACAGAGATAAAGGGGAAAAAATTAGGTCAGCCATTTAATAAGGAACAGAGAGTTTCAAATAACAGCTCAAATTCTACACATTTGGAAAAAAGCAGCCTTCCATCTGTACTCTCCCATGGTCTCCACCTGGAGCAGAAAGCGTGCAGGATTCACGCCACTAGTGCCAAGGCTCTCTATGCCCTTGATGGGGGTGGGGGCAAGCCGAGGATGCCTAAGTAGCATCACCTCTCTGGTGTGGGATTAAGGAGTTCCACAGAGTTTTTGCCTTTCTATGCAAAGATTTATCTTGGTTCTATCCAAAGGAATTGGTCAGATCCTGTCCTATAGTAGACAGCAATAAAAGAGGGTGGGGCAGTGGTATCTAAAAGACCTTCCAAAGTACCCAGGCTGCGTGTGTTCCTGCACAAAGAGAATCAGATAAGAATGGTTTCTTCAGTGTATGGGTTAAGGTTTAAATAAATTTAAAAAAAAAAAAAAAGAAAGACTGGTTTCTGCTTTGAAGGGTTTACAATGTGAGATACAGCACTGAACTAACACTATTCCAGTGTCCCCAGTGAATGAACGAAAGACAAGTTCACTCCTAGAACACATCCTCAGAATCTTGAGTTAAATCATCTCCTTTTCTCCCTGAAGGGTTGTATGTTATTATATATACCGGAGCAGGTTGATGGACGAGGTAGGAATAAGGAGCCTGAAGATACTGGGTCCAGGAAGAATTTGAAGGAGAGTATTGCCACTACAAACGGAGAGGGACACCCTCAGCACTTTGCCTTTTTTTTTTTTTTTTTTGAGACTGAGTTTCGCACTTGTTACCCAGGCTGGAGTGCAATGGCACAATCTCGGCTCATCGCAACCTCCGCCTCCTGGGTTCAAGTAATTCTCCTGCCTCAGCCTCCCAAGTAGCTGGGACTACAGGCGCGCACCACCATGCCCAGCTTATTTTTGTATTTTTAGTAGAGACGGGGTTTCACCATGTTGACCAGGATGGTCTCGATCTCTTGACTTCATGATCCACCCGCCTCGGCCTCCCAAAGTGCTGGGATTATAGGCATGAGCCACTGCGCCTGGCCCGCCTTTTTTTTTTTTTTTTTTTTTGAGACTTTACTCTCCTTAAAATTCTTCCTGGACCCAGTATCTTCAGGCTCCTTATTCCTACCTCGTCCATCAACCTGCTCCGGTATATATAATAACATGCAACCCTTCAGGGAGAAAAGGAGATCATTTAACTCAAGAGTCTCATTCTGTTGCTCAGGCTGGAGTCCAGTGGCAAGATCTCAGCTCACTGCAACCTCCGCCTCCCAGGTTCAAGTGATCCTCCTGCCTCAGCCCCCCTAGTAGCTGGAATTACAGGCATGTGCCAATGTGCCTGGCTAATTTTTGTATTTTTAGTAGACACAGGGTTTCGCCATGTTGGCCAGGCTGGTCTTGAACTCCTAACCTGATGTGATCCACCCACCTTGGCCTCCCAAAGTGCTGGGATTACAGGCATAAACCACCATGCCTGGCCCCACATTTCCTATCTTACCTAACCAAGATGCAGAACGACAACTTCATCACCCAAAGAAGAACCAAGCTGATAGCCCGCATTCAGCAAATATAATCAAACAGTTCTTAGAGATACTCCCTTGTTGACACAGTTTCTTTTTCTTTTTTCTTTTGAGACAGAGTCTTGCTCTGTGGCCCAGACTAGAGTCGTACAATGGCGTGATCTTGGCTCACTGTAACCTCTGCCTCCCAGGTTCAAGCAATTCTCCTGCTTCAGCCTCCCAAGTAGATGGGATTACAGGCACCCGCTATCATGCCAGCTATTTTTTTTTTTGTATTTTTGTAGACGGAGTTTCACCATGTTGGCCAGGCTGGTCTTGAACTCCTGACCTCAGGTGATCCTTCTCCCTCAGCCTCCCAAAGTTCTGGGATTACAGGCATGAGCCACCACACCCAGTTGACACAGTTTCTTTAGAAAGACAGAAGACAGACCAGGTACAGTGGCTCATGGCTTATAATCCCAGCACTTTGGGAGGCCAAGGTAGGAGGAAATACTGGAGCTCAGGAGTTAGAGACTAGCCTGTGCAATGTAGCAAAATCCTACAAAAAATACTAAAATTAGCCAGGCATGGTGGCATGCACTTGTAGTCCCAGCTACTTGGGAGGGTGAGGTGGGAGGATCGCTTGAGCCCAGGAGGTTAAGGCTGCAGCAGCCATGATCGAGCCACTGCATTCCAGCCTGAGTGACAGAGCGAGACCTCCTCAAAAAGAGAGAAGTCACAGCTGTTAGCATACAAACTGGTAAATATCAAATGCTTAGTAAATGCTATGGGAAGCAAAATATTCGTCATGGTCCCCTTTTGACTGCTAATTACTGTAATAGGAAACTTAAGCCCATATAGCTAGGACGCAAACTGTCTTTCAAGACACTAAACCCACATTTTAACAGCAGTTTGGCTATGGCGATTTAGTTTCTACTCAGCTCTGGCCCAGGCAAGAAGCTATACAGATTAGAAAGAGTCTAAGGCTCTTAACTTTGAGAATTCAGTGAGAGCTATGAACTTCTCCCTAGGAAAATAACAAGACACATGCAATTAGACATGGATTTCAGGAGGCTCACAGCCTTCTAGAGCTAGATACCTAACAGTAACGCTGGTTCCCTCTCAGTGGTAGCACTAGGTGCTTTTAGTTTCTTCTTTTTGCCTCTCTGTATTTTCTAAAGTTTCTAAAATAAACATGTCCTGCTTTTGCAATTAAAAACAACAAAAGGCCGGGCATGGTGGCTCATATCTGTAATCCCAGCACTTTGGGAGGCCAAGGTGGGTGGATCACTTGAGGTCAGGACTTTAAGACCAGCTTGTGCAAACCTCAGGTGGTGAAACCCCGTCTCTACTAAAAACACAAAATTTAGCTGGGCATGGTGGCACATGCCTGTAGTCCCAGCTACTCGAGAGACTGAGGCACGAGAATCGCTTGAACCTGGGAGGTGGAGGCTATAGTGAGCCAAGATCACACCACTGCACTCCAGTCTGGGTGACAGAGCGAGACCCTGCCTCAAAAAACAAACAACAACAACAAAACCAACCAACCAAACAAAAAACAATAAAAAGAGAAAGGGCCTAAGGAAAAAAGGCAATTCTAACCCAATCACAGGCCCATGGCAGCATCTGTGATCAGTGAGCTCTGTGACCAAGACCTAACTGGACACAGATTGCCTGGAATTGTCCCCCATTTGTCTTTTGGGCAAGCCATTCATAAAGACTCACTGCTCCAAAACAATCCTGAGAGCCCCTCAGTGTCCAACTCCAGACATACAAAGGAGTTACAATGGCTAGAAAAGCCCCGAGGCTTTCTCCAGAGAACGATATAGTTACTAATCAATTCAAAGACAACCTAGGTTTCTCCACGTAAAAGAAAATGCGTCACCCCACACAATGATCTACTTGTACAGAAAAGAGACCAACCCAAAATGGGATTTGGGTGAGACTCAATGTGGTCCTCAGTCTGGTAGCCAGCACAGCTGCAGAGAGAAGGTCACTGCAATACGTCAATCTGCAGAATCAATCTGCAAATGGAGGATGGGGAGAAATGAAGGGAAGTAGGAAGAAGGCACATTCCCAGCTTGGTAAAGGTTCCAGGCAACATGAAACTGCAAATTTGCAAAAACCAAGTTGAGAGACAACCTAATCTGAGCAAGAACAAGTAGGGGAAAAGTTTCTAAGAATCCCCAAAGGAAACAAAAGGAGAGACACATTCTGCTACCACTGGAGTCAGCAGAAGAACAATGCCCTGAAACACGCAGTTGGATAAACATGTGGTTCCCTTTTTGGTGGAGGCACTTGGGTCCTAACCATGAGGTAAACAAGTCTAACAAAACACACATCACTCCCGGCAAAGAACCAAACCCTGAAGTCATCCTACTGGCCCCTGGAAAAAGAGATCAAAGCCCATGGCAAGCTCCACTGTTCAAAAGCTCCCCCTCCACACGGCAACTCTGAGCCAGTGAATCATCTTACATCTTATTGTTTTACCCAGAAGCCAGTGGGTGAAACAATAGGCAGATGCTTATCTAACAGAGACAATTTGTCAAACCAGAAGGAATGACCTGAGAATTTACAGGAGACTGACATTGATCAGGGTGGTGTCTCAGTGCAGGGGGAGAGGGCTCAGTTGGAGCCTGGAGGGATCCTTAGTAGATTTTAAGCCTCTGGAAAGAGGAGATAGGAATCAAAATAGTATTGATTTTCAGCGTGCATACAAAAACGTGTCAAAACCAAACAAAACCTGAGATCCACTTTGTCCCTGGCCCCTCTCTATTCAAGAGAAGTGGGAATAGCTAAGAAAAGCTGGACTGAGAGATTTAGGCACTAACAGAAGACTTTTATAGGAAAAGATGGAATCACCCTTGTGTTCTGAGATATGGCACTATCAAGTAAACTAAGTTAAGAGATGAAGCAGTTTTTTTTTTTTTTTGAGATGGAGTTTCGCTCTTGTTACCCAGGCTGGAGTGCAATGGCACGATCTCGGCTCACCGCAACCTCCGCCTCCTGGGTTCAAGCAATTCTCGGGCCTCAGCCTCCCAAGTAGCTGGGACTACAGGCGCGTGCCACCATACCCAGCTTATTTTTGTATTTTTAGTAGAGACGGGGTTTCACCATGTTGACCAGGACGGTCTCGATCTCTTGACCTCGTGATCCACCGCGCCCGGCCTGAAGCAGTTTTCTAAACTAGAACTAAGGGCCAAAATCTTTACAGATAAGCACTTCTCATACACATGAAATAATCTGTCCAAAATGACGCAACACATTTGCTGAGTACCTGTGGATTGTACAGCTTTGCTCTACCTACTGTAGAGAGTTACAGTAGAATAAGAGCCACAGTCTTTGCCTTAGAGGAAGAAAAGAACTAAACTCTGTATGGGAACTTGACTATAATAAAGTCCAGGCCTTGTAAAGAGGTCCTTTGAGAACTTCAGTAAATACTTGCCTAGGATGGAGTCCAAGATAACTGAATTATAATAGTTTGGAATGAATGGCATTGTGGTGAGACTGAAATGACTGCAAAAGGAGGAGAGGGGTGACACCTATAGTCTCAGCTACTCAGGAGGATCACCTGAGCTAAGGAGTTAGAGGCCAGCCTGGACAACACACCAAGACCCTGTCTCTTAAACAACAAACATGGAAAATGCAAAAAAAACCTTGACGGCCACATGGACACAGTGAACTGCAGCTGTGTAAAGCCCCGACTGCTTAGTAAAAGAGGAAGTGAAAAAAGATGAGGAGTGCAGGGCACTGCTGGATCAGTGACTAGAGACCAAGTTCTCTCTTAGAGAGATCTGTGGAAATTAAGGCCTAAGCAGAGTAAGAAAGACTAGAGCAACTGCTGGCTGGGCAGTGGCCCTTGTAGTCTTACGTAGGGTCACGGAGAGGAGCGCCACCTTTGGGATGTGTGCCTGCATTTCTGGCCACTGCCCACTGACCGCTTTTCGCAAACACCTTCCTGCCTCAAGCCCTGATTCTTTCAGTTCATCTTTAATTCTGTCATTAAAGTTTCTGGTTACCAGTTGGGCGTGGTGGCTCACACCTGTAATCCCAGCACTTTGGGAGGCTGAGGTAGGTGGATCACGAGGTCAGGAGTTCGAGACCAGCCTGGTCAGTATGGTAAAACCCTGTCTCTACTAATAATACAAAAAAATCAGTTGGGAGTGATGGCACATGCCTGTAGTCCCAGCTACTCGGCAGGCTGAGGTAGAAGAATCACTTGAACCCAGGAGGTGGAGGTTGCAGTGAGTCGAGATCATGCCACTGCACTCCAGCCTGGGTGACAGAGCAAGACTCCATCTCAAAAAAAAAAAAAAGTTTCTGGTTCCCTCACCACCTGCCCCTTCCTTTCCCTTGGACCCCTGAGGGAACTTCCCTCTGCCCTATGCTTCAGAATAAGAGGTCTTATTGCTGCACAAAATTTTCTTCCCACCAGCTGGTTACTCTGGACTATGTCTCCTGAATATATTTTTTTTTGACACAGAGTCTTGCTCTGTTGTGCAGGCAAGAGTGCAGTGGCATGATCTCAGCTCACTGCAATCTCCGCCTCCTGGGTTCACGTGGTTCTCCTGCCTCAGCCTCCAGAGGAGCTGGGATTACAGGTGCGTGCCACCACACCTGGTTAATTTTTTTATTTTTAGTAGAGACGGGGCTTCACCATGTTGCTTAGGCTGGTTTTGAACTCCTGACCTCGTCATCTACCCACCTCAGCCTCCCAAAGTGCTGGGATTACAGGCGTGAGCCACTGTGCCCACCTGGTCCCTGAATTCTTTAAAGACTCCAACTCACTCCTCTCTCAAAGCTTTTATATGGGACTGCCCAACCTGTGAGGCATATCCTTGTCTGAAATGTTAGGTCTTCCAGGTCTTCTTAACCAACTGAAAGAAATAAAGTGAATTCCCTTTGGCTCTTACTCACTTCAGTATATCTTTCTCTAAGTGTCTGAGAGATCATGGCTTAATTTATATAATATTTTTTTAATTTTAAATCCATTTCTTTCACAACGGCTTTAAGAGGGATAAAGGAGGAATGAGATCTAACACAATCTTTGCTAAATCTGGCAGTGCCAACCATAAAGGCACTAACTGGTCTTTGGCAAGTTACCTGCTAAGAGCTTTCAGGGACAGCGGGAACAATAAGGGAGGCCCTGCCATGAAATACCAAGGTGATGTTACTGGCACAGAGGGAAGAGGGCTGGCTCTACTTCCAACTCCATCACTTATTAGCCATGTGATGTTGGGCAAGCTATTAAATCCTTGGGGACTGCATTTCCTCATTTATAAAAATGAGGACAGTTAATACCCACCTTTAAGGTGTTTTTGACAATAAATGTATATGGAAAACCTAGCACAGCACTTGAAGCAGGCCCAGTAAATCACAATTTCTATTTTCGTTCTTCTCCTTTCATCTTACTTTTTCCCTAATAATCTTTTTTTGGCTTTGTGTGTCTCTCTGGTCAAACTTTAAACCAGGCTTTCTCAACAGCAGCAGGACTGCCATTTTGGGCCAGATCTTCGTTGTGGGGAACTGACCTGGGCATTATGTTTAGCAGCATCCCTCGCCTCTACCCCCCCATGCTAGTAGTACCAGTGGTGACAACCAAAAATGTGTGCAGACACTGCCAAATGTTCCTGGGGGACAAAATTGCCTCCCAGTTGAAAATCACTGTTTTGACTGAAAGTCTTCATAGACAGGAAAATTGGTCTTCATGAGCTGACTAAAATTATGTATTATTATCTGACACTTTGAAAAGCAGGATGCTTGAATATTTTCAGCAAGAGACCCAGCTTCTTTCCCACAACTTTAAAATCTATATGTACAATATTGTTTAGGTGTCAAACGTACCAGCTGAGACTAGTAAAAATTAGCTATATGGGCCGGGCAAGGTGGCTCAAGCCTATAATCCCAGCACTTTGGGAGGCCAAGGCAGGCGGATCACCAGGTCAAGAGATTGAGACCATTCTGGCCAACATGGTGAAACCCTGACTCTACTAAAAATACAAAAATTAGCTAGGTGTGGTGGCGTGCGCCTGTAGTCCCAGCTACTTGGGAGGCTGAGGCAGGAGAATAGCTTGAACCCGGGAGATGGAGGTTGCAGTGAGCCGAGATTGTGCCACTGCACTCTAGCCTGGTGCCTGGCAATAGAGCAAGACTCTGTCTCCAAAAAAAAAAAGTAGCTATATATACAATACTTTATGCCTTAAAATTATTAAAAGAATAACAAAAGAAAATGTTTCATTTAAAAGTTTTGAAGACAAGTGATTCTCAAGAATAGAGAATACGGTAGTGCCTTCATGTAGAATCACATTTTAAAAAATTTATTTTATTTTATTTATTTATTTATTTATTTTCTAAAAGATGGGGTTTCACCATGATGTCCAGGTTGGTCCTGAACTCCTGACCTCAGGTGATCCAGCCACAACCTAACATTTAGATGAAGGACTTCAGAGACCCATTTGATTTACAGTCCACCATTTTTTCCCTTTTTTTTAAGAGGTGGGGGTTCTCACTATGTTGCCCAGGTTAACTCCAATTTCTGAGCCCGAGTGACACTCCCACCTGGGCCTCCCAAAGTGTTGGGATTAAAGATACGTACCACTGAACCTGGCTTACAGTCCATCATTTCACAAACTCTCCGACTGGAAAAATTTTTTAAGTCTAACTTCAAATATTTGTTGTTAAAACAAACAAAATGATTCCTCTTGCCTTTTTTTCTGGAAGCATAGCAAAATCTGCCTCAACTTTGAATTTCATAAATAATATGCAAATTGTAGCCAATAGTGTCTGACACTTGGTAGACACTCTCAAAAATGGTATGGGCATATGCCTATTTTGCAGCATGGGAACAGATGAAACATCCAAATCCTTTCTATCATCTGCATGATCCCTTTAGTGCCTTTATTAGTGGATTTACTAATGGATAAGTTAACCATGCAATATTCAGACTTTCTTTCTTTCTTTTTTTTTTTTTTTTCAAGCAAATGCTCCACTTCCCTTACTGGCTAAATTCTTCAAACATGCCTGTTATTTCTATTTCTTCATCAACTACCTCTTTCATTTCTCCAAACTGGATGCCTTGTTTGCCACTCTATTGAAATTGCTAATTGAAAGCTACAAAGAGACAAATCCAATGACCCCTTCATTAGGCTCTTCTTCTTAGACATTTCTGCTCCCTCTGACAACAATGATCACTCTTTTCCACTGAATACTTCTCAGCTTTCGTTAAAGGATATGCTGCGCAATACTATGCCAGATCCTCAAAAAACCCCACATCTCTTCTTTTGCACATCACTCATCCTTTCTTGTTTCCTAGTACACAAAGGAAGGCTATATCCTAAAAGACCTTTTCACTCTCCGCCAGATTCCATCCTTTTGTGAGGCTGCTAAGACACATCCTCTTTATGAAAACTTCCAACTGGGTTTGCTGTTTCCAGTAACTGAGTCTCCCTGTACTCCGTCACGTAAAAGGCTAAATTGCATTTATTGGAGTATGTATATATATATAATCTCACTAGAACCTAAGCTCTTCAAGAAAAGGGCTGTCTTTTCTGTCTCCAGAATTCCTTCACAGCTTGAAGCACAGCACTTGGCCTTCCGTAAGCTCTCAGTTGCTTTTCCAGATTAAGATTAATGAAAAGCTAAACCACCCTCGTGCATTTGCCTACGTCTCAGCCATTCAATGGCCTTTCCACTTTGGCCTACCCCTCTCAGGGAGACTAGCGGTCCGGGCAGAAAAAGCAGCCATCAGATCAGGATTTTGAGAAGCGGAAAGGGAGGCTCTGGGAGGGTACTCAAATGGCCTTCCTTCATGATCCAGAGACTCTTTAATAAAGGAGACTGCGATTCGGAGAATACGGAAGGGAGAATTAACACGCAAACCCTTTCCAAAAACTTTTCTGAATCCTGGGACAGGTTTCTTTTCTGCTCCTACTAAGTAAGCAGGTCTTTCTCTCCGTCCTCCTCGGCTTCCTGAGGATACTCAAAGGGGTAGGAGATCAAGAAAAGGCACCAGGGTCTGGAAGAAGCTTTTAAGCACCCGTGGAAAGCCAGTACCTCCAAAGTTTCAGAATCGCACGAAGGAAAGAGAGGAAGGGGCGCACCGGGGCGGGCGGAAGCAATCTCCGCCGCTCTTCTCAATTTCAGGAGGTTGCTGGAACGCATGACTCACCTTCCCTGAACCCGCGAGCTGGAAGCCGAGACCAGCTGGTAGCTGCCGTGCCCGCTAGGAGCCCACGGAGAAGCTGCTCACTGCCGGACAACAGAATCTTAAAGGCCGCCATCTTGAAAAATCAACCCTGACCTCTTGTCTATTTCCGCTTCCGGAACGTAGCGCGCGCAGCCGCAGTGGTGGGGTAGGAACTGTGGCGTGCTCGATTGTAGTTCGCTTACTCCTGTCACGTCATTTATCTCACCTGCTCGCTTTGGGATAAGAGAGGCTTCTGCGTCAAGATACATTTCGTGTTAAGGATCTAGTGGAGGTCTTTAGCTCCTGTCTGCCAGTGCCCGCAGTCTTCAAGGTTGCATTCGTTTCCTGGAATGCTTCCTTAGGAAAATCGCACGCAGCACCCCTACCTATGTCTTTAAAGCGTTCTCCTCACTGCACGTCAGCTGTGGACTTTAAGCTTCTGTTACTGGGGATAGACCTCTACAGGAGAGAGGTTGAAATGGTTGGGAACTCTGGATCTGGAGTATCGGGTATCAGGCAGACCTGGGATAGACTTGATACCACCTTCTTCCCTGACCGCTACCACACTGATCTTTGATTTGCATATACTTAGACCTCTCTCCAGCCCCAGGGCCTTGGCACAAGCTATTTCCTTCATCTGCTCTTTAGCTGTCTATTTAACTTCTACTTATTTCTTAGAGCTCACTTCAAATCTTATTTCCACAGTTTTGCTTGACTGTCCATTCTCAGCACCAGATGCCTCTCCATGTTAGTACATGACAGAATTTCAGTTTTGTTTGTTTTGTATTCTCACCAGGCTGAAAGCTCCATGAGGGCAGGAACACTGTTTTCTGTTAACTCACATCTCCAGCACTTAGTATAGTTCATGACACATAATAAGAGTATAATATATACTTGTTGAATGAATGAGTAGAACCTATTTTATAGGGTCCAGGGGAGGACTAGACCCTGAAGATTAGATGTGATAAAACATAAGTGCTCAGTCAGGCATGGAGGCTCATGCCTGTAATCCCAGCGCTTTGGAAGGCTGAGGCAGGTAGATAACCTGAGATCAGGAGTTCAAGACCAGCCTGACCAACATGGTGAAACTCTGTCTCTACTAAAAATACAAAAATTGGCTGGATGTGATGGTGGGAGCCTGTAATCCCAGCTACTCAGGAGGCTGAGGCAGGAGAATCACTTGAACCTGAGAGACGGAGGTTGCAGTGAGTCAAGATCGCACCATTGCATTCCAGCCGGGGCAACAGAGCAAGACCCTATCTCACACACACACACACACACACAAAGGAAAAATACACAAATCATCGGTTTATGTGCTTTTTGATGAATTTTTACAGAAAGAACACACTACCCATACCAACAAGCAGAATATGACTGGCACTCTAGAACACCCCCTTTTGTCCCCTTCCAGACACTATCCCCCAAGGATAATCATTATCCTGATTTTTAGCACAGCATCATATATTACTTTTCCCTGCATTTGACCTTTATATAATATTCCACCGTGAATATACCACATTTTAAAAATTTTATTCTGTTGATAGAATTTAGATACTTTCCACTTGGGACGACTACAAATAGTGCTGTGACATTCTTCTATGCGACTCTTGGTGAACACAAAGACAAACTTCTTTGGGGTCTATATCTAGCAGTGGAACTGTTAAATTGCAGGGTATGCCTCTGCTCAGCTTTAGTAGAAGACATTGTCTTGGTTTTTTTACAAAAGACTATTTTATTTTTATTTATTTATTTTTGAGACAGAGTCTTGCTCTGTCACCCAGGCTGGAGTGCGGTGGCATGATCATGGCTCACTGCAGACGACTTCTTAGGCACAGGTGGTTCTCCTACCTCAGCCTCCTGAGTTGCTTGGACCACAGGCACGCAACACCATGCCCAGCTAATTTTCTGTGCTTTTTGTAGAGATGGGGTTTTGCCATGTTGCCCAGGCTGGTATGGAACTCCTGGGCTCAAACAATTTGCCTGCCTCAGCCTCCCAAAGTTCTGGCATTACAGGCATGAGTCACCATGCCTGGCCCAAAGGCCTTTTAAAAAAAAAAAAAAAAAAAAAAACGGAAACCAAAAAACAAACAGTTTTCTGTAGCGAATGTATCAGTTTACTCTGGTATCAGCTGTGTGTGGCAGTTCTAATTGCTCCATATTGTATCAATATTTTATTTTATTTTTGTACTTTTCATCTTGCCATTCTGGTTGGTATGTAGTAGGATCTCCCTGTGTGTTTATTTTACATTTCTTTGATGCTTAATGAAGATGAATAACTTTTCATATGTTTACAGATCATATTTATTTATTTATTTATGAGACCGAGTCTCACTCCGTTCCCCAGGCTGGAGTGCAGTGGTGTGATCTTGGCTCACTGCAACCTCTGCCTCCCAGGTTCAAGTGATCCTCCTGCCTCAGCCTCTGGAGTAGCTGGGATTACAGGTGCATCCCACCACACCCAGCTAATTTTTGTATTTTTAGTAGGGACAGAGTCTCACCATGTTGACCAGGCTGATCTTGATCTCCTCACTTCAAATAATCCACCTGCTCTACCTTCCAAAGTGCTGGGATTACAGGCATGAGCCACCACGACTGGTCAATAAATTTTAAGCATGCAGTTTGTATAGCAATATAGGATCGTTGAGGGGAGGAGTTCGAGAACAGCTTGGGCAATATAGTGAGACTGTCTCTTTTGTAAAATGTCTGTTTAATATTTTGGCTCATGTTATATTGGGTTGCCTGTGTTTTGCTTTTCTTTTTTCTTTCATTCATTCATTTATTTAAGATAGGACCTCCCTTTGTCACCCAGGCTGTAGTGCAGTGGCACATTCGTGGCTTTCTGCAGGCTTGACCTCTTGGGCTCAAGTGATCCTTCAAAATCAGCCTCCTGAGGAGCTGGGACTATAGGCATACACTATGATACCCAACTAATTTTTTTTTTTTTTTGAGATGGAGTCTAGCTCTGTCGCCCAGGCTAGAGTCCAGTGGCATGATCTTGGCTCACTACAACCTCTGCCTCTTTGGTTCAAGCAATTCTCCTGCCTCAGCTTCCTGAGTAGCTGTGATTACAGGCATGTACCACCACACCCAGCTAATTTTTATATTTTTGGTAGAGGTGGGGTTTCACCATGTTTGCCAGGCTGGTCTTGAACTTGTGATCTCTGGTGATCTGTCCACCTTGGTCTCCCAAAGTTCTAGGATTATAGGCGTGAGCCACCACATCCAGCCTGATACCCAGCTAATTTTTAATTTTTTTGTGGAGACAGGGTCTCACTATATTGCCCAAGCTGTTCTCGAACTCCTCCCCTCAGCGATCCTCCTGCCTCAGTCTCCCAAAGTGCTGGAATTATAGGCATGAGCCACAGCTCCTGGCCTTTTTCTTATTGATTTGTAGTTCTTTATATATTCTGGATACTTATCCTTTCTTCAATATATGTACTTCAAAAGTCATCTGCCTCTCTGTGGGTTGCCTTTTCATTCTCCTGTAGTTTTTTTATGAGGATTATTAAAAAAATTTTAATATAGTGCACTTTATCAGTTTTTTTTCTTTTATGGTTGATACTTTTTGTTTTCTATTAAATTTTTTTTTTCTGGCGGGATGTGGTAGCTTTTGCGTGTAATCTCAACACCTTGAGAAGTTGAGGCAGGACAATTGCTTGAGCCCAGAAGCTTGAGACCAGCCTGGGCAACAGGTCTCTACTGAAAATACACACAAAAATTAGCCAGGCATGGTGGGGCATGCCTGTAGTCTCAGCTACTTGAGAGGCTGAGGTGGCAGAACCACCTGAATCTGAGGACGTCCAGGGTGCAGTGAGCCTGATTGTGCCACTGCACCCCAGTCGCCTGAGCAATGGGAATGAGACCCTATTAAAAAAAGAAAAAAAAATTAGCTGGGCACGTACATGCAGTCCAAGCTACCTGAAGGCTAAGGTGGGGAGGGTCACTTGAGCCCAGGTGTTTGAGGTTACAGTGAACTATGATGACACTACTGCATTTCAGACTAGGTGACAGAGTAAGAATGTATCTCTAAAAAAAGTAAAAAATAAATAATAATTTTAGTCCTCTTCAAGTTCATGAGGATGTTCTATCTTTTTTTTTCTAAAAACTTTATTGTTTTACTTTTTACATTTAGATCTTCGAGTCATCTGGAATTGTTTTCTTATGTGGTCTGAAACTGGGATTAAGATTCATTTCTCCCCCATAGCAATATCTAACTGACTCAGCACCATTTAAACATTTCACACTTTTCCTGGTTTTTTTTTTTTTGAGACAGAGTTTCGCTCTTGTGGCCCATGCTGGAGTGCAATGTTTCGATTTTGGACCACTGCAACCTCCACCTCCCAGGTTCAAGTGATTCTCCTGCCTCAGCCTCCCAAGTAGCTGGAATTATAGGCACCCACCACCACGCCCGGCTAATTGAAAATTTCACGCTTTTGTCTGGGAGCAGTGGCTCACACCTATAAACCCAGATCTTTGGGAGGCCGAGGTGGGTGGATCACCTGAGGTCGGGAGTTTGAGACCAGTCTGACCAACAGGGAGAAACCCTATCTCTACTAAACATACAAAAAATTAGCTGGACATGGTGGCACATGCCTGTAATCCCAGTTACTCAGGAGGCTGAGGCAGGAAAATGGCTTGAACCTGGGAGGTGGAGGTTGTGGTGAGCCGAATCGTGCCATTTGCACTCCAGCCTGGGCAACAAGACTGAAACTCTATCTCAAAAAAAAATAAAAAATAAAAAAAATTCACACTTTTTCCACTGCATTTTATCTGGTCTGTTTTCTGGAAGCTTTATTTAGTTCCAGTGGTCTCTTTTCCTGTCATTTGGCACTATATATATTTTTTATAGACAGCATTTTGCTGTCACCCAGGCTAGAGTGCAGTGGCTTGAACATGGCTCACTGCAGCTTCAGCCTCCCGGGCTCAAGCACTCCTCCTGCCTCAGCCTCCTGAGTAGCTGGGACTACAGGCATACTTTGACGCTATTTTTAGTGGCTATGTACGATTTCATTGTCTGGAAGTGCAATCCCCAATTGCTAAGCTTTTGGCTTGCTTTCAATTCAAAATATTTTCTAATACCTACCTTCCTACTCCAGAAACAGTGTGTTCTATTTCATCAGTGAGTCTTTTGTGCCCTTCCTCCTAGTTGATTATGCTGTGTATGCTTTTTTAAAGTACAACTGTGCTGTGGAATAAAAGGGGCTTAGGACCCTTGTCTGGGAGCTGCAAATGGTTA